GCTTTTAAAACTTGATATACTACACTACACTTTGACCAATATGATGTGAATTTCAATATAAATATGGAAATCCAGTCTGATTGGTCTTTGAATGTTTAACCAGAAGATTTAGAATTCTTTGTTTATTCAGGTATTGTCAGACACCGTATTAATTCAAGAAGAGAGTCAAGTTTGTAAAAAGTAAGACATTTATTTTCTAAACAATTAAAACATGACAATTACACTTTATGTGATGAATGAATCTAAGTGGATGGAATGTGAGGTGTGATGATGTGTGAATGTGAGGTTATCAGAACCTTCGTATCTGAAGAAACTGCGTTCTGAGTGGGAGTGAACTTGGTCTGCTTTAACTACAAGTTGATGGTTTCTAAAACCACATCAGACACAATCTGTGAGCCTACGTACCCTTCGTCGGAGACCCCCCATTGTAGATCCGGACTGTCAGGTAGTTGGATGGACCCCAAAGGTACCGAAGTCCGTAGGAGAAACCGCAGTACAACCAGACCGGTCTCGAGATGTCTCCAGATCACCACAGTTGTTTGCGTCTTAGGAATAACTCTTAAGGAGTTGAAGTTGGTTCAGCTTTATCCTGAAGGAACCGTTTGCGGTCACCTGTAGCATGCAACAGGTTTTGACAGCTTGTCAAAAGATGCTCTGGGTTAAAGAGGTTTTGCTCTGGATGGCCGGTCCGAAGCTTTCTCAAGAACTGCCTCGCAGTGAAGTGAGCTCTCTTTTAATAATCGTCATATTTTGATTTAACGACAAATCAGAATTTGACATGTAAAAAGGATTTTACCAACAAACCTCAGGAAACATGCCTTGCGACAGATACAGGAGTTCTGATTAGTGGAACAGAAAGCAATGTGTCATGATATTAGTTTTACCTTGTCATCGTCAGGTGTCTGAGTGTGTGAGCTGTCAGTAGATAGTGATTCACTTGTTAAATCTAACTTTACTGATCATAACATAATAATATTCATTTCAACATCAGTAATTTAAGCACGGATTAATCAAAACATTGTTATTATTCTTCAACCAATATTGTTCATTCAACCATATGATTATGGTAAATGGTAAATGGCCTGTATTTGATATAGCGCCTTCTAGAGTCCTGGAACCCCCCAAGGCGCTTTACAACACAATCAGTCATTCACCCATTCACACACACATTCACACACTGGTGGGGATGGGCTACGATGTAGCTACAGCTGCCCTGGGGCGCACTGACAGAGGTGAGGCTGCTGAGCACAGGCACCACCGGTCCCTCCGACCACCAGCAGGCAATGTGGGTTAATCAATCAATACTTTATTAATCCCAGAGGGAAATTAGAGTTTCAGTACACACAATTCAGAGATCAGACATACATGGGCAAGACACATGACAAGAATTGGTGACTGTGGCCATTCGCAACCCGAGTCGCGCTACCTTAATAGAGATGAGAGGGTTACATGAGGATTGGTTCAGGTGGAGGGAAAAAAAGGCACTTCACAGTTACCCTCCCACCAGGAGGGCAGCTTTGCTCTGCAACAAAACACCTAAACAAATATGCAACTGACTTCAGACAACACAACATAACATGAGACTCCAATTGGAAGGCGGGGGGGGTCTGGGATCCTGTTTCCCCCAGTGAGAGCAGCCATCTATGGCGCTTATCTACTGTACAGTCACAGGTGGGAGGGAGATCTTGGGAGAAGCGAAGAACACATTGACTCCTGCAGATTGACCTCGCCAGGCTGAAGTCCACCAATCCGAAGGCTGGGGGGATAGGTCGGGTTTTCAGAGCATCTGTCTGCATTCCTCCGTGAGGGTTTGTTGCTTGCCGCTCAAGTCTACCAGGGCGTCAGATTCAGATAACAAGAATTTGTTTGGGTCAGGCTGAGATAATTTTCCTCTCTGCCTTCAGTCTTTAAACTGATCATTCCAGTCCTTCAGTGAAGCCAAATTTGGGTTTTTAAACCTGTCCATACCGTCCGGTGACTCTCTCCGAGATGACATCCATTTTGCGCATTAATACCGGTATCGCAGTTTGAACATTGTCCAGCTTACGATTCACCTCGAATAACGTCCCAGTCTGAGAAGTCTCCACACGGACGGTGCTTTCCGTGGGTGCGGGTCACCCTCCAATCGCTCCCGTCTTCCCAAATTTCCAGAAAACCAGATATCCTCCCACTCCAATCAGGAGAAATCCATTGATCATCAGGCCGAATATCCACACGTCTTCGATATCCTTAATGGACAGCTGGCTGAGGCATATGATCTTCCACTCCTTCCAGGAATCCAGCATATATCCCACCGGTTGTGTCCCCTATGGACATGTGGGAGCCCCCTGCTCCGTTCTCATTGTTGAAAAAATCTTATCAAACGCATTGAATGACCAATTTATCAAATCCATGGTTAGTAAAAAGTTTTTCAGAAGAAATGCAGAGAAGCGCTCTGTGGGCAGACAGGACAAAGCCTTGAGAAAAAAAGATAAGGGAGCGAAAGAGAGAAGCATCTGTACTCTTGAGTGCCTTCAAAGTCTTGCCCAAGGACACGACTACAGCGACAGACTGAGCGGTGCTCGAACCTGCAACCTTCCGATTACGGGGCGAGCACTTAACTCCTGTGCCACCGTCGCCCTTATTTACTCCTTTGTTCATTATATGATTTAATTATGAAAAGTTCATCCATCTTGTGTTGTGAAGCGAAGCAGTCTTAGATAAGAGGGAGCTTGGAGGGACCTTGGGCATGCACAGTATCTTTCTTGCAGATTAATGCCCCTGTTAAGACTTATGTCTCCATGTGACCCGATACTGAAGAGGTCGACCTGTAGATGGAAAAACAGACCATTTCCGGAGGCTACAATAAAGTGACACTCATATGTTGCTAGTGATGTCTGCTAAATACTTGAGCCTACACATGACCTCCGACCTTTTCACTAACACGGCCAGCACCATTAGGAAGGCTCATTTAGGAAGGCTCATTGATGGCTCCATTTTATGAGTGGTCTGTACAATCTGTAGTGACCAAATCTTAGTGGTGCTGTTTGTCTGAGCTGTTCACAGCCTTTTACCATATTTCTGTTCAGCGTTTTGGTTCTGTTGGACCTTCTTTCTCTCATTAGGTTCTGGAAGCTGATTTTTGTAGAATATAAATGTGCTGTGCCCAACCTGTCCTGCTTCATTAGGCCCATGAACAAAGTTGATGACTAGCTGAAGAAAACAGCAACCGATGAGCTGGATATTCTGCCTAGGGGGTGGGAAGAGAGCTAAACAGGATTAACAGGATTCAATTCAATTCAAGTTTATTTATATAGCGCCAAATCACAACAAGAGTCTTCTCAAGGCACTTCACATAATAAACATTCCAATTCACAGTTCATTAAGCCAATCAAAAATAATGTTTCCTATATAAGGAACCCAGCAAATTGCATCAAGTCACTGACGAGTGTCCAGGAGGATAAATGAAAAACTCCAAAAAAAATCTATCAGTTATCAAAAGCTGTTTTTAAGTTATTTTACATTAGGTCATAAATTCAAGTTGCCATCAGTTCATCAGTTTCTGAAAAAAGGATTCATTTAATAACTATCGGCAAGGCTAAGCATAAAATTTAATCACAAACTTCATTCATCAGTGTGATGTGGTGTTGTGTGTTCATTTGATATTATTCAATTGATTGTTGATTATTCATTTGATACATACACTTAAAGAATAATTTGAAGAAAAATAACAAAGGCATATTAATATACACAAAGGCAATAGCTAGTATTGTAACCTTTGATAACCAAAAACCACAAATAAAAATAAAATTTGGGTTCCAGAACCATGCGGCATACTGTAAGGGACACAGACACACTATGTAAGTCCAGTATTGAGCAAGTATTGAGCACATACTGAGTATTGCATTAATGTTATTGTGGACCAGGATAATGCCAGTACCAGTTAAACTGAGGAGTTATACACTCTTACTGCAGAAGGGAAGAATGACCTACTGCAGTAAGAAAGAGTTCTGTTTTACATCCGGGATGGCTCAGTCTGCTACAGAAGGTGCTGTCCATGGTCTCCACAGTGGTATGCAGTGGGTGGGAAGGTTTTTTAAGAGGGAGGTCATCTTCACACCATCTTTCTTTCACAGATCTCAACTGAATGCAGTGGGCAGCCCTTGCATCGAGCTAACTTTGTTAACTAGCTTGTTCAGTCTCTTTCTGTCTCGGTCAGAGCTGCCTGTACCTCAACAGATCACAGCAGAGTGAAAAACAAAGCCAACAACAGAGTGATTAAAGGATGTTAGCAGATGGGAATTAACTCCAAAGGACCTCAGCCTCCTCAGGAGGTGGAGGCGTCTTTGGCCTTTCTCATACAGAGCATCTGTGTTGTTGGACCAGTTCAGTTTGCTGTTGATGTAGGTGGATAAAGGTATCCACCACCTCAGTGCCTGCATTCTGGATGTTTACTGGTGAGTGAGAAGGAGTGTTTCTCTGGGAGTCAGTCAATATTTCCCTTGTCTTACTGGTTTGGGCCCTAAGTCTTTTGCTGCCACACTTATTTGTCCCCCAATTGGGGGACACTCTGGCTAAAAGGGTTAAACAAAGGTGGTTAAGCTCACACCAGCCAACAAAGTTCATGATGACTGACCTGTACTCCAGGTCATTCTCCTCAGAAACACAGCCAACAATGGCCGAGTCATCAGATAACTTCTGGAGGTGACAGCTGCTGCTGTTGTAAGGGAAGTCTGAGGTATAGAATGTGAATAGAAAGGGTGAGAACACCAGACCCTGCGGAGCTCCAGTTCTGCACACAACCACCTCAGATGTACAGTTGTGCAGCCCCATGTACTGGGGCCTGAGGTAGTTGATGGTCCATGCAGATGTTCTTCTACTTCTGCACAAGCTTCATTAAGTGACTATGTGGAGAATTTCTTTCATCTCTATCAGGGTATTTTAAACATTGGACAAAGTTTCAGATTTTCTCACAAGTGATTTTTTTTTAACCTGGCTGTGTTTCTGTTTTGTTTTCACAGGAGATGGAACAGCAGTTTGAGAAGGAGCGACTCTCTCTGGAGGAGCAGAAGATGATTCTCAGTCAGCAGCTGGACGAGCTGAGAGAGGAGCTCACGTCCAAACTCAAAGCAGCCAATGAGGAGGTACGACGTGTCAGACATCACCGCCTGTAAAAGCTTTAAAACGAGCTGAAAATTACAACCATTTACATTTTTATACCATCATAAAATATCTCTGAGGGTTTTTACCACAGTGACTGTTGCATGCTGATAATTAGGAGGCTTGTTGCCAGATTAGATGTTTTACCTGCACTAAAAAAGTGACATTTGACTGTAAATATTTAAAATCTCAGATTTTCTAAGGAATTATTTCAAATTGCAGTGAGGAGTTTTGCATTTTTAGGAATAAAATTTTACATCTAAACTTTTAAACAGAGACAAATATCGCCAGTTTGCATCTTTAATTGCAGCTTTTTTGTTTCATTTTAAAAGGGCACAAAACTTCATCACACTACTTAGACGACGTAGATCAAATAAACCCAAACTCCGCCTTGTGGTTGTAGCTGTTGAACAGATCTAACACAGTAAAATATTGTTATCCTTTTAAACCCTCCACTCAGTGTTCAGTTTAGCCAGACGTGTCGTGAGCCTGAGCAAAAATGTTTAAATTTAACTTAAATCTCTGAGATTTTGATTCTGTGTGATTAAAACTGATATGTAAGATAAACATTTAGTTATAAACCTCATTTCTATGTACAAAGCTTGAAAGTGAATGCTGCATGTGATCTGAAGGTTTAGGAGTAATTAAACATTCATTTGATCCACTTCCTGTTTCATTCAGACACACTTGTTTGTCTAACTGTAACATTTAATAATATTTTATAGTTTACATAACTATCCAAAACTTTGTGAGTGTACGCATTAAAAAAAATGTTAAGCAGTTATTAAAACCCGTTTAATGCTAATTCTGCTTCACTGACCATGAAACGCTGATTTGGTTTAGAGTAGGCAGCCACACTGAGACCAAGCTTCCTGTCAAACCTCTGTTTTACCTCCATGCAGGTGTCCTGGCTGCAGCAGGAGGTACAAAAAGGGGAGCAGAACTTTGGAACAGCTGAAGGGCAGATCTCCACCCTGAAGGAGGCGCAGGATAAACTACTGGAGGAGTTGGACGCTACCCGGGCCCGACTGAGAGAGACCAGCAACCTGCTGACCGCGCTGCAGGTCAGGCACATGAAAACATAAATAACTTCTGAAAATAACCGTTAAGAGATAATCAGCTGATTTAGTTATAATCACTTCATTTGACCGTTACGATACATTTCATCATGCCAAAAAATAACCTTATAAAGACAAAACAAATCAGCGCCACCTCTAGTGCCTGGCTGCAGTATAGATTTTAAGCTCCGCCCCCTCTATGTAAGTAAACAGAACATTTTCCTGACTAAAAAGCTAAGAATGCACCTCATATTGTTTCTTACAGATGATGCTATTATTTTCTTTTCCTGCTAATGCATGTTTAAATTTTCATTTATTATTAGTTTAGCTGTAATTGGTTATTTCAAAGGAAAGGGCAGAACTTCAGGATGTTTTGACTTTTGTTTTGAACAAAGGAAAGTCTGTTTCACCCACTTTAACAACCATGTTTTCTACACCTGTCTCCCTTTGTCCTGTTGCTTTAAAATTAAATGACACATTAACGTCTGTCTGATTATCAGGGGGAGCTGGAAACACAGAAACGTCAACATGAAGCCAAACTCATCACCACCAAAGAAGAGGAAAAGCTGAAGATGGACAAAATGGCTCTGGAGCTGGAGCTCAAATGGACCGAAACACTCAGGTAAGTGTGTGTGTGTGTGTGTGTGTGTGTGCACTCATAGTACATCATAGTGTTTGAGTCCCAGATTATGTAAGAGTTGATGAGGAATTTTATGGTGACAAGGAAGCTGGTGTTTGACATTTCAATTAGAAAATGTTCTCACTTGATCTTTTGATCATTCTAGACATTCATGTGAATTTGTGTCACGATTAGCATACGAGTCCTTGTGTGTATTTTAATGCGTCACACCAAGATATTGTTGCTTCATCAGGGAGACCTTGTAGAGGTTTTTAATATACTGAATTTATAAGATACTGTTTTATGTGAGGAGAAGTTACCATTATTGTTAAAGAATTATAAGGTTTACTTATTCCTTCCTCTATATTTTAAATATTCAACGCTTCTTGAGCTTGTAAAAAAAGTTTTTCCTCAATTTGACAAATCTTTTTTGTAAAAAATTAGAGGAAATTCCACCCAAAATTGCCCGAAAGTACCAAAAATGTTGCATCGATCAAATATTTTCAAACATTGAATATTTTAACCACTATTTGGACACTGATAGGATGAAAATGTTCTGATCTCTCTCTGTTGTGTGTTCAGTGATGTTTGCAGCTGACAATATTTGTTTTCCAGTTGTGAAATAAATAAGAAATAAAGATTAAAAATCACACACATGTGCATCTACTTTCATATTTGACCCAATATATAAAAAAAGAAGGGCTGTTTTCAAGACTCTTGCACAACGGTTATTCTCGTGAAAGTGTTGCACGTAGATGAACTGTCAATGAAACCTTTTCATTTAAGGTACTAATTAAACTAAAGCCAAACACAGCTTTGTTTGGGGTCTGAAATGTTCATTAGAGGAACACACACACCTAGATTCTCCTAAAATCCAACAAATGAGCCGTTTCTGGGAACGTTTCATCCGTCTTTTGACACTTTCACCGCCCATCGATTCCTTCGCTCTTTTAGTTCTTCTAATCTCGTTCCATCTGCCCTTGTCTCTTCTCCTTCCCAGCAGATGCTGCAGAACATGTGTGTGTGTGTGTGTGTGTGTGTGTGTGTGTGTGTGTGTGTGTGTGTGTGTGTGTGTGTGTGTGTGTGTGTGTGTGTGTGTGTGTGTGTGTGTGTGTGTGTGATGATGAAAGAATAAGTATGTCTGTGGCTCCATGTTTTACACAAAAAGAGGTCAAGAGTTATGACAGTTGTCAAGCGTGCTTCAATGTGAACATGACGGTTTGCTTTGCACCATCAAGCGGTGCACTTGTGCTAATATTTTTGGTGAGAGCGTGAGAAACAGAGAAAAAGAAAAATTGAGCTTTCAGTCTCATACTTTGTTGCTCTCAGTGGGAAAAAAAAGTGTTTGCTTGGATACTTTTAACAGCTGCCATTTCAACTTCCAGGCAGCCATTACACTGACAAAACACACACACACACACACACGTTCACAGTGATGGAGCGGGGTGGCGACAGAAGCATTCAAGAGCGATGGTCACTCTGTAAAAGCAGTATTGAGGTCTAATGGCACAGGACGATTTACCGCCGGCATTAAGCTTCCTGAAGCACCTTTGGAGCAACTTTTAGACGAGTTTCTGTTTTCTCCTGCTGTTCTCCTGATGTTCTGGAAATCAAATCCGCACAAAAACACGACAGATTCTGAATAAAACTCTCTAAACTCTTTTGTTTTTCTCTTAGGATTACACTCTAATCTTTAAAAACAGCTGTCCGATCACGAGCTGATTATAATTTTAAATCAGCTGTTTTAGTTCACATAAATCAGGTTATCAGAAACTGCTGACAGATCAGAATTTTCTAATCATACGGTGTGGGAACCAGCATTTGATCAGCCATCGTCCCGTTAATTAGGAGGTTTTTCTTTTCTTTTTTCTGCCGCTATTAGATGGTGTTTGACATGTTTTTAAAAAAATGTTCCATCTTTTCTTTTTGGTTAACATGTGGACATTAAATATAAAAATGTAGAAAAAATTGACATTGATGATTAGTACTATAGTAAAAATCTATTTAATGCAAATAACATGAGAGTTTGGGGCTGGATGAATGTACAAACAAATCCGTTTGTAATCATAGGACATCAGCAACTGCAAAAGTAAATCTTTCAAAACTTTTCTTCAGTCAAATTAAAAAAGGTGGATTTTATAAGAAAACAAAGAGCTTTTCCCCTTTTGGGTCGTGGGTCTGACATTTAAAAATAAATATGTTTTCATATAAGATGGTGCATCCGGTGCAATGAGGAGGATTTTAAAGTTCAGGGAGGGCCGCTGCCATAAAGCGCTGTTCAGAAGGACCCAAGATGCTGGTGTGGACACAGGAGCCGAATGAACAAAATACTTTAATAATAGAGTAAACATGCTGACTGTGCAGCAATGAAACTTACATTAAGAGATTAAACAGGGAGCACGTAAACATGGAGGGAGTACAGCGGGGTCAGAAACTTTAAAACAGGAAGAAGGGATTCCTGAGAAAATATAAGACAAATTTCCATCCCTCTGAGAGGTTTTTCATCATTTTTATTGAAGCTTTTACTCTGAAATAGTATGGATCAGGATGTGTCTTGAGATTGTGTTTATAAAAATCTGTGTAACTCAGTTTTTCTGTTATTTAGTGTTTTCTCTCGAGTCCAAAGGCTGACCTGACAATGCTTTTGTAACTGGTGTTTTGTGCTTTTAGGCAGGAGTGCAAGAAGCTTCGTGAGGAGCTGAGAGAAGAGCATGAGGAGGACAAAGCTTCAGCTTTAGCTCAGCTGGCTCAAAGTAAGGAGCAGGAGCTGAGCAACGCCAGGGAGAGCTGGCAGAGGAAGGTGGAGGACCTGCTGGAACAGGTAGAGCTCATTAAAAACCACAAAACCAGATGAAAATAAATAATTTCTTGAGGATAATTGAGTTTATTTTGTGCTTTTTCAGTAAATAAAAACAATTTTCATCTTAAGGTAATACATTTCATACATAAAATAATTGAGTCCTGCAGCTTGTACCTGACTTGTTGTAATTATGCAGCAATGAAACAAAATCAGTCAGCTAAGAGAAAAGATAAGAGGCAATAAGAGCAGCCGCCTCTCTGTCGGGCTCCCTTTGTGCTCTACGAGGTGACGTCTACGCCGGACTGAATGATTTCTCTCCCGCGCTGGAGCACAAACTCCATCACATGTTCATTACAGAGAGCTGCGCAACACCCAGTAGAACTGAGCCGGTTCTTAATCACCACGCGGTAATATTCATGTTGCATGACTAAGCTGCTCTGTGGTCAGTGTGCACACTGGGGCAACCTTTTCTGGGTGCAGTTGTTGTATGTGCATCAGCTGATGGTGATGAATGCACCCTTCCTGCACCACACTCTCATTTATTTACTTTAAGGCCAAATCACATCAGTCACCAGCCTCTGGGCAGACACACACTGGAAAGATGGCGTTTGAACACAGGACAGAAGTTTGATGCTTGAGCTGAAATTAAGTTTACATAAAGTGAGGTCATCAGTTAGCAAATTGAGGAACTTCGCCTGGAGAGAGGCCAGCCGAATCTCCACTCTTAAAAAAAAAATCAATCCTGCAGAAGTGCAAGAGGGAGCTGAGCCTCGGTGCAGCTCAGATGTCGGATAAACCACCGGGGAACGCCTCTGCTAACAACAAAAACTACACTCTCATTGTACAGAATACAGGTGCTTCCTACTGGAGCTGTTCTTGTTGAGATCAAATAAATGTCACTTTTATTAAATGTAAGATCTGATGGGATCTGTTGATGCTCAGACTCTCAGCTTCTTCCACCATATTATAGTTACATTTGTAAAACGGGCCGAGTTACGGCCATCTTTGTGTTTGATATCGACTAGCAGGGGCAGCCATCCTAAATCAGACTCTCTCTAAAGTTTAACCAGTTACAGACGAAGATTTAATGGTTACTTTCTGGGAATTTCATTAAATCTGTTTAGTGATTCATAGAAAAAACAGACACTTGAAAAACATTATTGCCCACCTCTCACCGTTTAGCACCAGCTCTTAAAGAGTTTGTTCCTGACATGTAAACAGAAACGGCTGATTTTTCCTGCTAATCTTATCCGTGGATATGAGATGTTTGAAACCCTTCGTTGATTTTATAACATTAACTTCTCATTTTTGTGATTAACCCTTTAGGCCCTAGTCCTTTTTCTTTGGGCCCTGGCACCTCCCAATTGGGGGGCCTTTGGAGTTTCATGTCTTTGCGTTCCCCGAGCACAGCTACAGCTACAATCAAAGCAGTTTAGATTGTAAACAAAGCAATTTTTGGTTTTTGATACGTTAAGATAAAATAATACTTGAACTTTACTTTAGAAGAGCTGCCCTGTGTGAAGGTGCTAACAGGATGGAGGTTGTGAGTTCAAATTCCAGTTAGGAATTGTTTTACTTATTCCATGGGTCCTCAACTACATTTGTTCAAGTTTTTTTCCCCAGCAGACACCACTGAAGGTCAGATGCTCTTCTAAAATAAAGTTCAAATATCATTGTATCTTAATTTATTACAATTTAAAATGGCCTTGTTTCCCATCTGGGCTGTTTGATTGTGGTTTTAGTTGTGTTTAGAGAATGTGGACAGTTGTAGATGTTTGGGACATGAAACTGTGGAGGCCCCCAATTGGCATTGGGGTTCAGCGGGTTAGTAATGAACTCCGAGAGGAGACGAATGTTTCTGGACAACTAGACAACGTCCGGTTTCCTTCCTAAAGAGTCCAGTTCTGGTGAAATTAAAAGAAAAGCAAAATCTGCACAGAGCACCAAAATAGTAATAAAACTAGGCTAATGTCTTTGTTTTACTTGTTTAGGTGTTGCTGAGGTCATCAGTTTTAGTCTTTCAGGACTTCTGAATCATTCTGAAAAAAGTTGGTTTCTGTTAGAGGAAGTGTTTGTGTGCATGTCTTTATTGTGAGGTTTTAAACATAAAGCTGTAGTTTGACACATTGTGGTCCCCGACTAACCTTATCAGCAGGTAGCTGCAGCACGAAGCATGTCCATAAATTAACCGAATCATGATTTTTAGATGCAATTTTCATTTGAAGCGGAATTACTTTTTAGTATGAAGATTCTTCTTGTTTTTGTTAGTAATTATAAAAAAGTAAAAATCTGCAAGAGCTGAAAAATGGCAACCTTTGTATCAAAAACAAATACAAAATTACATTTACTCCGTTTTACAGATATTGAGCTAAACTTGTGCTGAACTGAGAGTAATTCACCACATGGACTCCATCGCTAATAGATCACATGAGATCAGGTGTTTGTTTTTTCTCACCAAAACGATGATAAATCTATCATTTCTCAGCATGAGAGTCTTAGTTAGAAACCAAAGTGGAAAGAATTGAAGAGTATTAAACTATTAAGTGTTTGACCTTAAATTTTGACAGACTTTAACACATTTGCATCTCTGCGGTTCCCTGTAGCTGTGACTGTTTAGTAAAGCTGACTTTATATACAGAACAAGTGCTGAAGTGTTATTTTCTTCCTCAAGCAAAGATTTATTCAGCACGTTTATCCAAACGGTCTAGACAGACTCATTTAGTGAGTCATACCACTTTGTCCCAATAATAGATTTGAGAGCTTCGTCTGTGGTGTTGCAGCATTACCTAATTTTGTTCTGCAACTAACTGCAAGTTATTTGCATAAAGTAAAAAATATTTTTCTCTCCAGAGTTTTGATATTTGTTTTAGCCTAACTTTTCTTTTACCTTGCAGCCTAAAAAACATGCTGCTCCACATAATCAGCCAACCTCCAAAAAGTCAGTTTACCGTAATTTCCAGACTATAGAGCGCACCAACAAAAAACAAAAGGGTTTTCTACACACACACACACACACACGCCGCACTCAAATGCAAGCCGCGGCGCAGCAGCCACATGCAGGTCTCCGGCGCACAGTGCATGTATGGCCGTAACGTAAGATAATTAGACAGAAAGACGCTACACGGAGGTTTTTCATTGTTGTTTTAATTCAACAAAACGAATTTTAAACACGGGTGAACGTGCTTGCAAGTTTAGAAAAGAAAACAGCACTGATAGCATTCATATTTCTGGATGGTTGTAAAATAAAAACAGAACTGACACGTTATTACCGGTAATTTGCATGTTTAGAAGAAAAGAACAGCGCTGACACAGCATTAATAAGCCCTGGATGATTAGAAAATAAAAACTGCACACAAAACATGCCTGTTAGTAAATAAAACACACCTGCCTACCAGAAAAAGGCATTCGCTCTCATCTTCCTCTTGCGCACTAAAGCCATTAAAGTCCTCTTCTTCAGTGTCGGAGTTGAACAGCCTCAGAAGAGCTTCGTCACCTACCTTTTCTGTGGCGATGTCGGTGTCGCTGTCCGTGTTGCTGTCATCATCCCCGGGTGAAGCTGGCTTGAATGAGTTCCTCCTGCTGCCGTCTCCAGCGCTGAACCATGGATTCATTCATGCCAAGCTTACGTGCGGCAGCACTGTTTCCCTCCTTTACTGCCAGATCGTTGGCCTTCAACTTAAATGCGGCAACATATGAACTCATACGTGTAGTTACCATGATGAGGGGGTATGGATTTGAAAAAAAAAATTCTTTGTGGTGCCGGCTGCTTGCATGTGCTAAATTAAAATGAGCACTTTCTTCGATTTCCAATTTTGACTTCCACCTGTTTCACTTTCTGCTAAAGCGCCCCCTAGAGGCAGGTGAAGGAAAACCTTCAGTAAAGCCGCATTATAAGCCGCATGGTTAGAAGCGTGGGAAAAAAGTAGCGGCTTATAGTCCGGAAAATACGGTAGTTTGCAAGCATGTGGAGTCAGCAATCAACAGACTCGCTGAGTAATAATTATTCAGCCGTCCTGTCTGATTTTTATCATGTTTTGTCTGTCCTGGTGTAGATATCCCTGTTGAAGCAAAGTCTAGAGATGCAGCTGTCCCAGTCCCAGTCGTCGCTGCAGCAGCTGCAGCACCAGTTTAGCCAGGAGAGGGAACACCTGAGGATGCAGCTGGATGAGCTGCAGACGGAGCATCAGAGGAGGCAGCAGCGTCTGCAGGAAGCTCACCGCTGTGCCATGCAGGACGTGGAGCACACCAGACAACGAGATCTGAAGGTACGCCCTCACAGGCTAGTTCATACATATGAAATCCAAAAACCTTAAATCCAGTTTCACACGGACAGAGAACAGTGTGCATCCTTGAGGTCGAAGAAACTTGAGGTTATTGTAACCATCCTTGGACAAGACTCACTCCAGTGTTCCTTAAGATCCCACTTGTGTTCCTCAGAAGAACTTTCAGAAGCTGTTCTCGGTTTAAATGAGCCAATAGTCCTCACCGTCTGAATGGTGATGAAGGCTAAAAACTAAAGTCTGTGCTCTTTCAGGAGAAAGTTTGATTCAGGTGATCTCAAATCGTTATTCATTTGCTGTGAGACAGAACAAGGCAGCCATCACTTCTTAAATAGGACTCTGTACTGTCTAAAACTAGATGTAAACATCTACAAAACTCGCTTTTAGGCCAAATTTAGTCTGTGAGTCATAAAAGGACTTCCAGTATGGTTTTTATGAACTTGTGGCTGGTTGGACAGAACCAACTCAAATAATTTCTGTAGAAGTTAGCCTTTTGCCTAAGACAAAAGTAGAATTAACGATCAAATGGACTCACTTTCTTTCTTTTACATAAAGTTTTATTTCTCTGACATTATGTTGATAATGATCCCCAAATTCATCAGGATTGTCAAATGGATTTTAGCTGCTTAAAAATACCTACAGAATTCCATGTGAATAATGCGTAATGGAGGTGGAAAGGTTTATATAATATCACATGAAGCTGTTTAAAGACCGCATACATGGCTGCACTCAAACTAGCCATTAGCTTATCAGTCCTGTACTGTAAGAACCATTTCCCTGAACAGAGGCCAACCAGGAAGCTACAAGACGTGAGATAATTATTTATCTGCAGAAACACACTTGAAAAAGAACAAAAACATCTCTTTAGCCTTTGTAAATAAATGGGTTTTGAACCATCAACTCTTTGAGAAATAATCAGTTATTTAAAGAAAAATCTTTGCTGTAGGCGGAGCTGATAATTAGTATTTCTGTAGGTGCAGTCACAGACGAGCAGCACACACACCACTCAGATAAAACGTTTCAGTTTCTGGTTTAAATGACAAACAGAAAGCATCAATTACCCACAAATCGTTTATTTCTTTAAAGGGAACATGAGCGCTTCAATTTAAGTGTTTCCGGCGTTTTCTCCGCCGTTTAGGGGAGCTCTCCAGGAGAAGCCATCCTTGACATTTTAATTCAACGGAGCCTTGTCAGAGTCAAGGTGATGGGCGGTGACTCATCACGGCTGTTACTCACTCTCACTGACAGCAGACAGCTTCGCGTAGCCTCAGTGACAACGCCACCTTTCCTCTGGATAAGGTGGAAATATGCATGCGCCAAAACAACATACCCTCTCCTCAACGTGCCAAGAAAATGTTCTCCAGTGCTAATCCCTCCATTTCATACTCAAGGTCGATTTGGATCAGTTATACATCACAGTTTCAAATCCTCTTTTCCTCCGTGATGCTGTAATTGTATTAATGCTTTGGGGAGAATGGAGGTCAGAGAACGGCGTCCTCCTGATGTTTTCCTGCCAGCTACTCGATGACAGATTTGAATAGGGATGAGTGTCTGAGTCACGCAGCGTTCTCCTGCTCACCAAACCGCTACAGCTAACATCCTCCTCTTCTTCATCGTCATCTGCTCCGAGCAATAAGCAGATGATTCACATTTGCTCCATACGACAACAAAACCTCCAGCTTTGCTTTATTGCTCAAAGTATTTTTTTCTTTTTCTTTGCAGTGAAACTGAGTGTTAAAACGAAGGGCCGTAATGGCGAGAGGGTGTTTGCGTTTCTGTCGGCGGCGCGGGGAGACGGAACTCAATTATCCTGAGTGGAGCCATTTGAAGGATGATTTGTGTGTGTGTTTTATATGTGTTTGGGTAGAGGTTGGAGGCTCGTTGGTATTGCCTGGTGTTATCTTGTCACAGTTCACAGGAAGTTATATCCAGGGAGTAATAAAGGAGCTTCAAATCTGCGCATAACAAGCACACACACACTCGCATAACCAGATTTAGTTCCCGAGTTCGCTGATGCGAAAAGCCACAAATAGAAACGCCGGTTGTGCAGGAAGCATGTGACAGTTTATCTTCTCCTGTTTGACTTTATTATGCCTGCAATAAGGATGGGGGGGGGGGGGGGGTAACTGCATCAAGTGTGTTTTCAAAGGATATGCTGATTTTATTACAAGCTAATATAGAACAGTTTCCATATGACTGAAAGAGTGCTGCAAAGGGGGGTTATGATGTGTTTGTGTGCATGAACAAGTAGATAGATTTTAACGAAACTTTTAGAAAATAAGCACTAGATTTTCAACTGCGACTGAACTTTTGGAATGAGTTCAATTAAAGATGGCTGCCACAGCTATTACAGCTTAGAAAGTGCCAAAATAAGTTTTACAAATTTTCACCTCCAATTCTGTGTGTTTGTAGATGATTCATGCACAACTCATAACACCAGCTCAACAAACCTTTACTTAAAACTTCACCATCAACTAATGGAGTCGACCAGTTTTAGCTAATTGTATTTAGCAGACATATAAACATAGTTATACCTCAGGGAGTTTTTACAGATTTAGAGATATAATTTGAACATGTATTTTGGCAACAGGCATAGGAACTTTAAGGGGTTAATAATTAAATATAGTAAAATCATAAAGAGAATTCAGATATCCTTATAGCTTTTATATATATACAGTTGTGGTCAGAAGTTTACATACACTTGTAAAAATATAATACAATGGCTCTACTGAGTGTCCCGTTATTTCTAAAACTCTGATTTTTCTCTGATTGAGTGATTGGAACAGATACTTCTTTGTCACAAAAAACATTCATGAAGTTCGGTTCTTTAATGTCTTTATTATGGGTTAACAGAGAAAAGTGATCACATTTGCTGGGTCACAAATATACATACAGCAGTGCTAATATTTGGTTACATGTCCCTTAGCCATTTTCACTTCAATTAGGCGCTTTTGGTAGCCATCCACAAGCTTCTGGCAAGCTTCTGGTTGAATCTTTGACCACTCCTCTTGACAGAATTGGTGAAGTTCAGTTAAATTTGATGGCTTTCTGACATGGACTTGTTTCTTCAGCACTGTCCACATGTTTTCAATGGGGTTTAAGTCAGGACTTTGGGAAGGCCATTCTAAAACCCTTATTCTAGCCTGATTTAGCCATTCATTTACCACTTTTGATGTGTGTTTGGGGTCATTGTCCTGTTGGAACACCCAACTGCGCCCAAGACCCAACCTTCGTGCTGATGATTTTAGGTTATGTTGAAGAATGTGAAGGTAATCCTCCTTCTTCATTATCCCATTTACTCTCTGTAAAGCACCAGTTCCATTGGCAGCAAAACAGCCCCACAGCATAATATTCCCACCACCATGCTTGACTGTAGGCATGGTGTTCTTGGGGTTAAAGGCCTCACCTTTTCTCCTCCAAACATATTGCTGGGCATTGTGGCCAAAAAGCTCGATTTTTGGTTCGTCTGACCACAGAACTTTCCTCCAGAAGGTCTTATCTTTGTCCATGTGATCAGCAGCAAACTTCAGTCAAGCCTTAAGGTGCCGCTTTTGGAGCAAGGGCTTCCTTCTTGCACGGCAGCCTCTCAGTCCATGGAGATGCAAAACACGTTTGACTGTGGACAATGACACCTGTGTTCCAGCAGCTTCTAATTCTTGGCAGATCTGCTTTTTGGTGATTCTTGGTTCACTCTTTACCCTCCTGACCAATTTTCTCTCAGCAGCAGGTGATAGCTTGCGTTTTCTTCCTGATCTTGGCAGTGATGAAACAGTGCCATGCACCTTATACTTACAAACAATTGTTTGCACTGTTGCTCTTGGGACCTGCAGCTGCTTTGAAATGGCCCCAAGTGACTTTCCTGACTTGTTCAAGTCAATAATTCACTTTTTCAGATCCATGCTGAGCTCCTTTGACTTTCCCATTGTAACGTTTGTGGGCGTTTGTATCCAATGAGCCCTATTTACCTGGCCTAAGAGAAGTCACCAGCTGTAGTCACTCATAATCACTCACAAGAAGTTAAGAGATCATGCTATGAAGCTCAGTTCACTGACACGTTTCTAAGTCACCTAAATTGCTAGATCATGTTGCTGTATGTATATTTGTGACCCAGCAAATGTGATCACTTTTCTCTGTTAACCCATAATAAAGACATTAAAGAACCAAACTTCATGAATGTTTTTTGTGACAAAGAAGTATCTGTTCCAATCACTCTAGCAGAGAAAAATCAGAGTTTTAGAAATAACGGGGCACTCAGTAGAGCCATTATATTATATTTTTTACAAGTGTATGTAAACTTCTGACCACAACTGTAGTTTTGAAGTGATCTTTTAAAAAATGATCTCTATCCTTCTGGTATCTCATCAGGGAGGTATAATGTCTCAAGGTCAGATACTGAGGAGATTACACCTGCCTTCATCTTTATCCAGCTCTGCCCATCTGATGCTCCCTGTTCATCTTTGTTCCAGAAACACTTTGAATAAGCTGAATATTATCATCCTGCAGCAGCCTGAGGGCTGACTGAGACCAAAGAACAGAGCTCCTGTTTTAAAGTACTCATGTTGCCTTCAGGTTTGTTCGGTAATTTTAATTCTGCCTTTAGGTTTTAGGTTTCTAGACAGTCAGAAAGCACTTCAAGCCATTGTGATCGGATACTTTGGTTCCTTCAGCTTCCTCCTTAAGCAGCTGAACCAGAAAATCTGGATTCGTTTTTCTCCCTTTCCTAAGTCAGTTACACTCACCTAGCTCTAAACTAAAAGTACTGGTAGTCCTCTAGCAGAAAGATCAAGCTGCACACAGAGGAGGAGGAGGTGAATGTAACATTATAGTTCATTTGTAATTACAGGATTCCCTGTGATTAGGAGTGATTAATGTGTTCCCTTTAATTAAAGGAATAAAGCGATGCTTTTCAGCCACTCACACTACAAAAGCATCAATGATCTATAACAAAGAATAAAAGATTATTGGCTTTTAAAACTCACATCCTCATACTGCAACACAGGCTCCCTCTGGAGCTTGGACACACCTGCTGTGGTCGGGTAGTTAAGAACAATGAGGATTATCTGGGAAAATGAAAAGTCTTCTCAGGCCTGAAATATGTCACGGTGCTACTTTAGAGTCAACCCCAGGTCATAGTACACCACATGGTAAAGTACTTTATCAGAAAGTATTAATTATGTTTATGTTTGAATAAAAAAGAACTGAACTGAATTAATTACACAAGAGTCTTAAAGTTATCATCCCTCTATTATCTGGCTTTTAGCCATGGTTAGTTTGGGTCACAGAGGTCACAGGTCCAGGAGGGAAACTCAGTCATTCCACTGCACAGGGGTTCTCCAGCTCCACCCAAGACAATCCCAGTCCAGACAGGATTAAATAATCCCTCCATTTGAGTTCTGAACTCAGATGGAAACACCTCAGCTGTCTGCTTTCGGTGAGGAGGAGTGGCAGACCTTCTCTGAGTTCCTCCCCCTCATCTCAAGCTCCTCCTCCACCATGACAGGCTGAAGTACTTCATTTGTCACTAATCACTCATTAAAACTGATTTTTACCAGACTTGATGTTGTGATGCCTCGTGTTTAAATAAGTGAAACATGAAAAGTAAAAATGTTTATTTGTTAAAAAGAAATATAACTTTCTAGTATTAAACTTAATTGTTGTTTATTTGTTTTGAATTTTGTTGAAAACCAGCGTGTTCAATGAAACTCACATGACGAGATATTTTTCTCAAATCTTGCTGTTTCTGATTGTTCCATGAATCATTTCTCTAAATTGTTCAGATGACAGAAATGTACCAACCCTTTAACCTATAGTAACTTAATGCTCTTTGTTGGAATAAATGTCCATCCATCCATCCATTTTCATCCGCTTATCCGGAGTCGGGTCGCAGGGACAGTAGCCTAAGGCGAGAGACCCAGATTTCCCTCTCCCCAGCCACTTGGGCCAGCTCCTGCAGGGGGAATCCCAAGGCATCCCCTGGCCAGGTGAGAGACATTGTCCCTCCACCGTGTCCTAGGTCTACCTTTAGGTCTCCTCCCGCTTGGACAAGCCCAGAAAACCTCACCAGGAGGCATCCTGACCAGATGCCCGAGCCACCTCAACTGGTTCCTCTCGATGTGGAGGAGCAGCGAGTCTACTCCGAGCCCCTCCCGAATGACCGAGCTTCTCACACTATCTCTAAGGGAAAACCCAGCCACTCTGCGGAGAAAACTCATTTTGGCCGCTTGTATCCGCGATCTCGACTATATCTAGTCGGAACCTCCCAACCTCACACACCAACTCAGGCTCCTTCCCCACCAGAGAGGTGACATTCCATGTGCCAAGAGCCGGCTTCTGTAGCCAAGGATCAGACCGCCAAGGTCCCCGCCCTCGACTACCACCCGTCAAACACTGCACCCGACCCCTTTGGCCCCTCCCACGAATGGTGAGCCCATGGGAAGGGGGACCCACGTTTCCTCTTCGGGCTGTGCCCGGCCGGGCTCCATGGGTGAATGCCCAGCCACCAGGCGCTCGCCAACGGGCCCCCCCTCTGGCTCCAGAGGGGGGGCCCGATGACGCACGTCTGGACGAGGGAACACGGTTTCCATTTATATAATTCATCATAAGAGGTCTTCAGGCTGCTCTTTGTCTGATCCCTCACCTGGGACCTGTTTGCCATGCATGAGTGACCCCACCAGAGGCATAAAGCCTCAGACAACTTAGCTCCTAGGATCATTGAGACACAAACCCCTCCACCACGGTAAGGTGGCAGCCCAGGGAGAGGTGGAATAAATGTATATTTCAGTAACTAAAATCAGCTTTTTGGATGGCAATTTAATTTCCTCATCGAACAAAAAAAGGAAATTATGAACTGATGGATGTAGTAGCTAAAATTAAACTGTTCAAAAAATCTGTCTGAAATATTAATAATATAAATTACTCGCTGATCATTTTCCATTATATATTTCTTATTTACTTTGACTTATACACTACAGTACATTTTCTGTCTTTGGTCTTCCACTGTTGATGTCCTTCCCCACATTTTCCTGCTCTGTTTCTTTAATCATCTGTTTTTCTTTTTCCTGTTTATCAGGAGCTGGAGGAGCATCTCCGCCATCATCACCACGCAGAGCTGCAGTCGCTCAGAGAAGCCCACCGGCAGAGCATCGAGACCCTCAAACAGCAGTCGGAACAAGAGCTGCAGACGCTTCGCTTTGAGCTGGAAGATGAAGGCAAAGCCATGCTAGGTGAGTTCTGAAAACAGGGGGATGAGGTCTAAAAGCTGCTGGATTAGGTCTAAAAGCAGCTGGGTGAGGTCAAAAACAGCTGAGTGAGGTCTAAAAACAGCTGGGTGAGGTCTAAAAACAGCTGGGTGAGGTCTAAAAACAGCTGGTGAGGTCTAAAAACAGCTGGTGAGGTCTAAATACTGCTGGATGAGGTCTAAAAACGGCTGGATGAGGTCTAAAAACAGTTGGATGAGGTCTAAAAACAGCTGGATGAGGTCTAAAAGCAGCTCTAAAAACAGCTGGTGAGGTCTAAATACTGCTGGATGAGGTCTAAAAACAGCTGGATGAGGTCTAAAAGCAGCTCTAAAAACGGGTGGGTTAGGTCTAAAAGCAGCTGGGTTAGGTCTAAAACAGCTGGGTGAGGTCTAAATACTGCTGGATGAGGTCTAAAAGCAGCTTTAAAAACAGCTGGATGAGGTTTAAAAATGGCTGGGTGTCTAAAAGCGGCTGGGTGAGGTCTAAATATTTCTGGGTGAGGTCTAAATACAGCTGGGTGAGGTCTAATTTCTGGGTGAGGTCTAAATACTGCTGGGTGAGGTATGAATACTGATGGTGAGGTCTGAATACTAAAAGGTGAGGTGCTAATACAACTGGGTGAGGTCTAGAAACTGGTGGGTGAGACCTAAATATTAAAAAGTGACAGAAGCCTAAATACTGCTGGGTGAGGTCTAAATTCTCATAGGGGGCATTATGTTCATTAAACCTCTTATTACATAAACCTATAATTAAATAGAACTAAGTTTAGATACAGACATTTTCATTTATTTTTAGCTGTTTACCAGAATATTTTTCTTATTTTTGTTAACCTTAAAAATAGAAACTTATGCAAACACAGAAAATCAGAGAAAGGTTCTCATAGGCCAGAGCACGGCCCATTGAATTTCATTAGTACCATCTAAAATATGCTAATGCTAAACCTTTTTAGCAAACCAAAGTATTTTTATAATTATAATTCATCAGTCTGTTGTCGTTCTGTCTGCCACCATCAGTTCCTCCTCAATAATCTGACCCCAGATTATCTTCAACAGCATATTAAGGCCTTTGTAGATTAGAAATGAACAGAGTAGGGGTAAAGGTCGGTGAGAAACATGCGCTGTATAATAAATATTTTCATATATATATTTTCTAATTTACATGAAAGAAAAGCAAAGGTTTGTTTTCTTTTTAGCTTCTCACCCACAAAACGAAATTTGCAAGAAAGTCAGCCTCAAATGTTGCTTGTTGAACAAAAAAAAATACATTTTATTTTGTTAACTTTGACACCAATTATGTTCAAAAGTATTTTATTAGAAATTAAAATGCATTTTAATTTTGTTCATGGAGATTGTGTCAAACCCAAATGTAGTCTTCCAGAACTGCTACATTCAGATTTAATAATCTGAGTAAATATTTTAAATTAAAAGTCTGATATTAATCCTTATATCAACTCAGAATTTTACCCTCCTAGGCTATTGTAATCCCAACCCCATACTGGTATGGTTTTAGTCCAATAATGGCAGATTTTAAGTGTTGGTTTTCACCTTGCTGTGATCTCTTTATAATTGCTCTTATGAACTCCTCCGTTCGGAGAAGACTTGGATAATGAGATGACTTCTTCTTTAACTGGCTGGACGTCCTGACTCACCTCTGATTTCTTTACCTTTTATGTAGAAGTCCCTGCTGATCCGAGCTATCCTGGTTTCCCCGGCAACCTAGAAGCTTGGGCTGGATGTTGTGTCAAATTTCTTATTGAGAATCGTCACCAAACTTTTTTCCTGCCTAACTGATGAAACATGAAAATCAATCTGGTCCACAAAATACGTGGAATTTACTAAAACGGATTCACAGGAGCTGGAACGTCTAACGTTTATGAATGAGTTTATTGTAGACATTAGACGTATTACTGTGCACTAATGGGATGTTTTTAGCAGAGATTTGTTTGCACAGTTCTGATGAGGATTTTAGTGCCTACACCCCTGAGCTGGACTGTGATAAATGCTCCTCCATTAACCTTCTTGTCATGGTCCTGACTCTGGAGAGCTGCTTCCATCTGTCTCTCACCTCCCACATCTTCACTTCCCTTTATTAGCTTTTTTTTAATCAACTCCTCCCTTCATACTCTCCTCTCCTGTGTTCATTTGTCAGCTCATTTGAAAATGACTTTATAATTTTATCATTCAAGTAAAATGTTATAAACTTTTCTAGACTGTTAGATTATTAATAATAACATATGTTTGAAGTAATGAGTAAAGACGGTTAATTTAAGGTCACTTTAAAGCTTTTTGATGTAAAAAATAAAAGCCTCAACATCTAACGTTCTGTACAAGTAACACATCTTTATTCCTCCTTTAGCCTCTCTGCGATCAGAGCTGAACCACATCCATGCGTCAGCCATCGAACACCTGCGACAAACACACCACCAGGAGTCGGCTGCTGCCAAATCTGAGCTGGAGAAAACCCTGGAGAACAACCGGACCCAGGTAGGATCATCTCACCGGGCCTAATTTATGACCCATCTCAGCATTTATGTCCACCATTATTTTCACTTACTCTCACCAGCATCTGTGTGTTTTGTGCCATGATTTTATTTATAATCATGACTCACACTTAGACAGCTACGAACACAGCAGCGGTTTAGCGTTCATCTGTAATAATCGTATCTGGCGTTTTGTCAGCGGTGCCGTCGTTCCGTCGCTGGTGACAAAGCCACATGATGAATGACTTTCCGGTCACGTACCGATCCTCCCAACCGCTCCGGCGGCGTCTCTCTTCCTGATGGTTGCATCGAAAAGATTGTTGATTAAAGCGAATCGACACGCTGCTGACGCCTCTGAATGGGCTTTCTGAAGACCTGTTTCACACTGTTACACACATTCAGCCACAGATAAAAGAGAAATATTCTCCATCACAAATGCTTTTATCCTGAAGTATTGAATGGTTTGTGTATTTGTGAGGTTTATACACACAAGGTTAACTCTTCCAGGCCCAGTGTGGTTGGAAAAAAGCTGCAGACCGATTTTCTTTACAAAATTTTACCAGATCTTGGAGTGACACTGAATTGGTATAGCTTTAGATTTCTGTCTGAAAGTGTCTGTTTGTTCTGAATTGGTCCTCATTTTATTTGCAATTGTGTCTCCAGTCAGTCACACTTTGTTTTGTCGGTTGCCAACCCTTTTTATGGTTCATCATACATTTTGGACACTTTCTGAAGCCACAGCGTCACTGGGATGCTATTGTTGTTGCCATATCACTGAGTTCTCAAAATGTTCTCGAGGGCGTTTTGTTTAATCATGCAAATCTCAGGGCCTTGAACTTTTGAACCTGTTCAATTTGCGGGAAAAATCTTTCAAAATAATCAGAAAGTCTTATCTTAACCTTCAGAGACCCAAATGTGTATTTGGTGTGATTTAAATGAAAAAAACTATTTTAACTATTACAGATTAACTCTCATCAATGTGAACATGTTACTTATATAAAATAAATCATTTTAAAATGTTGACAAATTTCCTAAAGAAAAAATTGACAAACATTTTAAACTTAAACAGAAAAATGTAGAAAGACAAATTGAGTGTAAGTTGTTGCAAATAGAGAAACAGCTGAGTCAATTTTTTGGGCTAAATTACAACAAGAAAACTTTGATTATTCTCATCATAACTCAGCTGAACAGAATAAATTGTCTCTTGAAAGTGTCGTGCACAAATATTCCAAATTTGCATGTTTTGTTAGCCTTTTGTCTCCAACTAGTCTCCATTAGTTGCAGCCTAGTAAGATACTGGCTTTACTCTCAGAGGCTGATTTGAGAATGTTCCAGACATCTATGACTAATTTCCCAGGATATTTTAGGAATTATGTTAAATTTTCCAGCAACCTGAGAGCAATGCTCCACAATTCGTGTGAGAAAATAACACAAAAACGCAAACCTATCGAGACGTTTTGGAGACGTCTCACAAATGTGAGACAAGTGAGTCGGTGGTTTTACCTCAGCAACAACAAATGGCCTTCTTCATGAACAAAGAGTTCAAAAATTGACATTAACTGGTAGAAATGATCACTTTCACTTATTATTCTTCCTGTGTGGATGTCAGTTTTCCTGAACTCTGGTTTATTAAATCTCAGGGACTCCATGAAGCAGCACCTCCTCCACAGCAGTCACCTGACAACAAAATCAAAGCTCTGTGAAGGAAAACCGAAGGGTGGTTTATTACTGCTCTGCAGCACACATCCGTATTCTCAGAAGACGCTTCGGTTAAACGCTCCTCGTGTAGAAAGGAGGGTTTTCTGCTCGCAAAAAGATGCCGTTAGCTGCTAAATATTTCCTTTTCCTGAGCCAAACTCTCCGGTGGACGGGTTTCATCGATCCTTTTAGGGAGTGGTATATTAAAGACAAATGGTTAGACAAATAAAAGTTTGTCTGCCTTTTTTTTCCTTCTTATTCTCTCAGTTTCATTCACTTGATTTTGTTACCAGGAAGAAATGCTTAATGTAACCAAACATCACTGGCGTTTTAACTAAATTTACTCAACATAAATTTTTATACTGTCGTTTTCTACACTCCAACAATCATCTACCCCCGAAACAGGAGTGCCAGATCTTTTTTCCCGCAGTTATCGACTCACAAGGCATTCACTAACTCTTCAACTGGCTGTAGGTAAAGAGTCAACTAACTGATTTAAAAAGAGCACACGCCACCCCTCTGTTCATTGGGCTCCACTGGCTACCACTAGCAGCACGCATCAAATTCAAATTGCTAGCACTAGCACACAAAGTCCGAGACGGTACGGCTCCCATCTACCTGAATCCTCTTGCAAAGGCTTACGTCTCGGCCCGGCCGCTCCGGTCATCACAGGATTGTCGGCTACCAGTGCCTACACCACGCTCAGGACAATCCAGACTTTTCTCATGCATCGTTCCACAAATGTGGAATGACCTTCCTAACACTACCAGAACTGCGGCTTCCTTTTCTATTTTCAAGAAACTCCTGAAGACCCTGCTCTTCAGAGAGCATCTTCTTAACTAGCACCTTGTCTGCACCTGTCCCCCCTCTCTACTGTCCACTCCTTGTTCGCTCCTCTCCATGACTGATGTCAATTTGTTGTTGTTACTATTGTTGTTAGCCTCAAGGGCAAAATGCCGATTATCACTTGTAAGTTGCTTTGGACAAAAGCTTCTGCTAAATACATAAACATAAACATAAACATTTAGTCATTAAATGTCCCCCTTTTCTCCTGTTGTTTCTAATAGATCTGCCAGGCTCATAGGCATCAGATGGACTTTAAGATGCTAATGGAGGGTCGGACAGAGACGGTTTGGGAGCATGAGTCAATTATATACGATTATTGAGACTTTTAGATGCTGAGCTCAACTCTTGGCACAAGCTGTCCGATAGATGCAAAGTAAAACAAGGTTTTTGCAGCCAGAGGAATCATTAGCAGACGATAACAATGTTGAATCTAATTCTAATGGAGTGAATTGGCACTTGAATGGAAGTCATCAGATTGGATGTTTGCTCTTCATTCAAGTCTCGAATTACAACCATCGGTTTGGCACAAAAGGCCTGGTTTGTCTCCAGTAACGTGAACGTCATCGATTTGCAGGTCTGCTGCTCAATTTATTTAAATTATGTAATGTTTTAAAATGTAAACCACAAGAAAAAGAACACTAAATCGTCATGTAAGTTGACTTTTTTCTGCCGCTGTAGAGTGTTGCATCATCAAATCTTCTAAAATGAAGATTACTCAATGTACAAACTAATGTCAGAGGATTGTTTTTATCATATAAAGCTAATAAAGTCACGTCTGAAATGTTCCTTTTTAGAAAACGACTCGAAGTGTAAAACTTCTAAAAGTCTCTGAGGCCGAGAGTCACTTGTTTTAAGTGGCGTTCCAATAATGGACTCATTGTGGAGGCGACAGGCTGTGTGCGGTCTTCACGTGGGTGCTTCATTAAACCTACGCAGAACACACACACACACACATCCCGGTGGAGGAACACTACTGCTCATTTTCTTTCATCCTTTCACACCACGACACAAACGTTTGTTGTCTCTGAGGAGCTGAGAAGAAAAGGAGCCGCTCAGCAAGGGGTTGTGAGTCATTTGAATGGTTGGGCATGTTTAACATGGAGTCATTTAGCGGTTCTGAGGTCTGTTGCGTTTCATCTACAGACTGACGGATCGAATCCTGTTAAATGAAATATCAAATTAATTAGTTGAGTCACTTACCAGCTGATTCAGAGACACTCGATGGCTGAATCGACATGAGAAACTCGCCGCCGGGGCGTGTTACCCAGAGCTAAAGTCAGTCACGCGTTTTCTACACCTGACTTTGTGTCTCTGTAAAAATTATCTTTTTGGTAGATGTGTTTGAACGTAGTTTTCCTGTTTTTTTAACTGCCACTATGTAAAAATTACAAATTACTCCTTGTGGATAACTTCCTGTACAGAGTTGTCATCCAGCCAGACTGGTAAGCTAATGGCTAGTTCAAGCACACATAGTATTGGTGATGCACCTGCCCCAATCTGCTACATTTACCAACAACTACAAAGATAATTTATCTCACTGTGGTGGGCCAGCTGTCTATCAGAGGTAAAAATATTAAATGAAAGCCTGCTAACCAGCTTGTTTTGTTGATGTGACAGTCTAACAGCACTCATCATGGAAACAACAACACACTTTGCAGTGGGAAGTCCCTTAATTTAAAAAATACATTCATCCATTCTCTTCCACTTACCCGCAGTCGGGGAGCGGGGGCAACAGCCTAAGCAGGGAGATCCAGACTTCACTCTCCACGGCCACTTGGGCCAGCTCCTCCAGGGGAATCCCAAGGTGTTCCCTGGCTAGCTGAGAGACATAGTTCCTCCAGCGTGTCCTGAGTCTTTCTTTAGATCTCCTCCCAGTTGGTTGTGCCCAGCAAACCTCGCCATGTAGGCATTCGGGAGGCATCCTGACCAGATGCCCGAGCCACCTCAACTGGCTCCTCTCTATGTGGAGGAGCAGCGGATCTACTCTGAGCCCCACCCGGATGATTGAGCTTCTCACCCTATCTCTAAGGGAGAGCCCAGACCACCCTGTGGAGAAAACCCGGCCGCTTGTATCTGTGATCTCGTTCTTTCGGTCACTACCCAAAGCTCGTGACCAAAGGTGAGAGTAGGAACGTAGATCGCCTTCCGGCTCAGCTCTCCACCGCTACAGACCGGTACAACGCCCGCATCACTGCAGATGCAGCACCAATACACCCATCGATCTCGTGCTCCATCTTTCCCTCACTCATGAACAAGACCCTAAGATACTTAAACTCCTTCACTTGGGGCAGAACCTCGTCCCTGACCTGGAAAGGGCATTCTACCCTTTTCCGATTTGAATCTTGGATTAAAATATAATATTAATCATAAAAACTTGTTTTCCCGCACAGGAGCGTGGGTTACTCAGCCGGATCTCCGAGCTGCAGGAGGAGGTTTCCAGGAGGAAAAACCACATCGCCCAGGTGGACCACCAGATCCACACGCTCAACGAGAACATCAGCACCCTGACGAAGGAGCTGGAGCTGAAGGGCAAAGAGGTCCTCAAGATCCGCAGCGAAGCTAATCAGCAGATCCGGTCAGTCCCTAAATGTCGTCACACAAACTGATAAAAGCTACACGAGTGACTGTTTTTCTAGAATACATCTAGTCTTGTGTCATATTTAGAAAGGTTCATCATGATCAGATGTCAAAAATAGCTACTTAAAGCGATCTTTCTGAATAAAAAAAAAACGCATCAAGATGGTTTTTGGGTCACAAATGAGATGAAAACATTGATGTGTCGAGAGCACCACAAATATTGTCTTTGTGTTTGCAGCTCTAGGTTTTTTCATCATCATATTTGTGAAAATGACACAAACAGAAAGTGTTTTATTTGTTTTCCTCTGGGGTAATCAGAGATTAGCCAAAACAAGAAAACTGCTAACCTTTCCCACAGCCATCGGCGTCTCAGAGCTTTCTGTAATTAACTCCTCGTTCCCTTAATTAGTTCAACACCTGATGACTACGATGAGTTTTGAGTTGGAGGGAAATAATCTCCGTATTTCTGGGCTATCCCTGACGTGGACCTGACACACGGGGCTAAATTTACCTTCTCTGATTATTTTTGGGTGACGATAGCTCCTGTAATCCCACTGTGCTCCAGTCCCGCTGAAATTAAACTCCGATGAAAGAAAGATGACACTAGAAGTCTGATGATGAAGATCATGTGATTTGGGGTCAGATGAAGATCTAATGTATAATGATGTGGTCAGAAGAACCAGGCTCTGTGTTTTATGTGTTTGGAGGTTTTGTTTTCTACTATTAATTAACTCGCCCTCATGAACGCTCACCCTCTTTCTCCCCATTACATAACTCCACGTCTGAATTCTGGTCAGGAGGATAAAAATAGACTGATAAATAAAAAAGAGGAAATGGGGAGAGATAAGATGTTCGCCCCTCGGGGAGAGTTGGCCTAGTCGGAGTGAGAGGCAGACACAAATCCACATTTCTCCTCCATTATCCTCCCCCCCTCCTCGCTTTCATCAGCCGTTTTCTTTCTCCCGTTTCTCTATCATCCTCCTCTGTTCCCGTCTCCGGCAGAAACCTTCATTTGAACATCTGTTAATTTACTGCGTGCATTGCTGCTGTTTACTTCCTTCCTAATTACACTTACTGTTTGTTTTCATGCGGTTGTGTTTTTGGATTTATCCTGAGCAACAGTCCCTGGGATTTTAAATCTCACTCACATTTCCTGCGTGAAGCACTCAATTATGTTCTGCGTCTCCTGGGAGAGAGGCGCCGAGTCTGCAGGTCCTGATTGAGTCTTCGAGGGAAACAGCGGCCATTTAGAGATTAAAACCAAATATGTTTTTATTTGGAACTGGAGTTGAGATGTTGGTGTTAAATACAGCGGTGTGAAAAACTATTTGCCCCCTTCCTGATTTCTTATTCTTTTGCGTGTTTGTCACACAAAATGTTTCTGATACTAGAATCTAAAATAAATGCATAAATATATATTTCAAGTAATTTTTTAAAATATATAAATTATTTTGCGGTGCTGAATTCATCATTCATCTTTCATCAGCGTTGGAGGGCGGGGCCAAGGCTGATGACATCGATTGCTCTGGTCTGGCGGCTCACTTTATAGAGGTGTTCTAACCGTGTCGGTGCTGGATTTTTGAAACCGAACAGATAAAACAAATGTATGAGTTTGTGATCCAGAATCTGTCTGCTGCAGCTCCTGACATCAGGAGAAATGGAGCACCCGTCCTTCAGGCAAACAGACGCTGCTGTTCCAGTACGAACAGCGGGTTGGCCGGTTGGGAAGGCTCTGCGTACATCCCTCTACCTCTCGATTGGCCTAGATGTGTGCATGCTGTCGTCACACTGAGTGGCAGCACCTATGGGTGCAGCATAAAAGCAGGGGTCTAAGTGAAGTCACACTGGGAGCTCCTTTTTATTTTAGTGTGGCCTTTTAGATTTCTGTTGTCCCAGGTGGCCGTAATGCTTTAATTTGTTTGGGCATTTTCAGATATCGACTGTATAAACTTAGAGATGTACCAAGCCCCCACAATGTGGCTCTAAAATTGAGGCCAACCCGGAAGTACCAAAAATTGCAGTACCCTCATCCGCTGGGGGCTGGTGTCAGAAGCGAGCAAATCCTCATTGACTCCCATGTTAAAAATACCAATTTCACAGCAGAAATAAACATGTTTACAGCCTGGTACCAAAACATGTTTTTGGTTTAAATGGCCTTTTTGGCCTTTTTTTTAGACATTAGGGGTTATTTTTATAAAGTTTAGTCGTTTACGAAAATACTTTTAAATTAATTTTTTTTTTTGTGTGTGTTTTATTTTCAGCACCTTTGGCAAATTTTCTGATATTTTATCTCAAATCCAGTTGTCATAGTCTCATGTTCTGTTCTGCTGCTCTAACAAACCAACTTGTCCTTTAGTTCTTTCCTCCGCCTGCTCTCCTCCCACGAGGAATCATGGAGAGGAGACGGGAAGCAGAGGAGATGAAGCATTTAAGACGTCTCTGCTTTCCAGCTGTCATTTTAAACCATCAACTGAATTTGATGCGTCTGGCTGTCATCTTTGTCAGATCAGCTTTAATGGGTTTAATAACCGCACAAACAATGTTTTTGTATTTAAATCTAATTAATGACCTTTTTTTAAAGGTAGGCTTGAATCCTCTCTTCTTCAGGTGCATTTTGGGAATTAATCCTTCAGAACTTTTTGATTTCTGGGTTGTTGAAATGGAGATTTTCTTATTTTCAGGCATTCTGAGACTGAGCAGTGGTCGATGATGTAATGATTAACAGATGGTAGCGCCCTGTAACCTCACACACATCTAACTCTTTACTAACCGAAGCGTTTGGATATTTTCTCCTGAAAACCTGATCGATCGCAACCAGCTCCAGTTCGGTTTGGGCTCCTTTCGCCAGCTTTTTTATTATAAATGTGTTTGACACAGTTAGCTGTTCTGTGTGCAGCGGTGGCTGATCCTCTGGTTGTGGTGTCTCCTCAGGGCTCACGAGCAAGAGCTGATGAAGAGGCATGAGAGGGAACTGGCCGAGCTGAGCGCAGCCCACAGCCGAGAGACCCAGAACATGCTGTCAGACTTCAACAAAGCACAGGAAGTCCTCAAAGACAAGATCTCCGCCCTTCAGATTCTGTACGTAGCTGCTGTAATTATACCAGAATGTTTTCAAACATTTACGAACCTCAAAGCATCCAAACTTGTGGCTGCTCACGTCACAGAAGGCCTCTGGGATCAGAAGTGGAGAATGCACCACCTCCTGGTCAGTCTGATAACAGACAGATCTGCTTATTCATCAGTTTATAATTCAAATTCAACATCAGAGACACAATTACTTTAATAGCCAGCAGTTTTTCATTTTAATGAATTTTGGGTTTAAGCTCCTAAAATTCATTTCTGGGATTCTGGGAACAAATTTAGTCTCTAAATATTGAATCATAGTGAGAATTGCAGTTGTTTTAACCAAAAATCCTCTGATCAAATATAAATATTGTCTTTGTTTTATATTTAACCTGGTGGGGGTGGATTCCTGCAGGTCCTTCTCTGGGTTTTGTCATCTCATCAGAAACAAATCCAGCTTTTTTCCGTCTGCTGATGCAAAATCACTCTGATCCAAACATCTGGAGAAATCAAGTAAAACAAAGCAGATTTCCAGCTGCTGTGTAGTTTTTGATCATTTAACCCATCGAGTTTTTGATTTATTGACAAAAGAAATGGAATCCAGCCCGAGGCAAGATCACACTCAGGAAACACTTTGGAGTCTCAGGTTTGATCCAAGAGCTCCTTGGATCATTTTTTATGCTCCACTCTTTAAAGTTCAGAGCTTTTGGACTCCGAGGATCATGGAAAACCTTCAGCGCTCATTAGAAACTCCTGATTTAAGTTTTCTTCTGAAGGTTTTATTAGAGTAGGTGTTAAAATCACTTCTGTCATGTCTCAATCAGCTGCCAAATGAAACATAATGGTTTATTTTTGCTGTTTCTGGTCCTTCTATTTTCTGAGCTTTAATGCTAGTATCTCATCAAACGCCGGTGGCTGTCACTGCAAAGTTTGAGGAGAATATTTAGACTAGAAGCTAAAATCCTTCAGACCTTTCTCCAAACAGCTCTAAATAAACCCATCTAATTAAGTCTGAGAGTTTTACAGAAATGATCTTGTAAGTCGAGCCTCCTGCGGAGAACAGAGTTAAGAGATCAGTTCATTTTTTACCCATTATGACAGATTTTAATTATAAAACCGTAAAAAACTGCTTTAAATCTGCAAAATAACTACTGTCAGCACTTTAGTAACACTTGTTAAGTCAGAAGCCTAAAGTAAGTCTAACAGACCTCTGTTGCCAGGGTAGTTACCATAGCAACAGAGGTTTGACTTTCTGTAAAATTAGCAGCTTAACGTCTAAAGGATCAACCAGTTAACTCTCCAGGCACATTTGAAAGGCTCACAAGGATAGTTTTCTTCTCAAAATCAGAAATTAAACAAAGAAAGTTCATCTTCATTTGATTCATCAAAGGTCTTGTTGAAATTAAAGAAACAAATCTGTAAAAATGAATCAGTTTAAGGGTATAGGGTATATTCTTTTATTTGTACTTGGTGAGAATCTAAAACTTAATGTCTAAGAAGACTTCATTCAGAAAGATTTACCTTTACAGGGTTATCATTTTTATGGCTATAAATAATAATAATAATAATAATAATAATAATAGCCTTTATTGTCATTGTACAGGATACAACGAAATTGGAGTGCCACTCCCTTGGTGCACAATACACTAATACTTCTAAGTATAAAAGTCCCCTCAAACAAAACAATAGTAAGCACCCTATATACAGAATAGCAGCTACCATATCATGTAAAAAAATGGCATTAGAATAGCAGCATAATAGTTGACGGTGACCTTGACAGTCTCTAAGCAGGTTTAATTGTTTTATGCTTATTTACTATAGAGATCGCCCTGGGAAAGAAGCTATCCCTGAATCTGTTTGACCTGGTTTTATGTGACCTGTACCGTCGACCTGATGGTAACAGTTGAAAGACGTGATTGCTGGGGTGAGATTGGTCCTTGATGATATTGCTCGCTCTGCTGAGGTACCGAGAGTTTGCAATGACCTCCAGGCTGGACAGAGAGCATCCAGTGATCTTCTGGGCTGTGTTGATGACCCTCTGCAGTACTTTCCTGTCTGCAGCTGAGCACCTTGCGTACCATGCTGTTATGCAGTACGTTATGATGCTTTCTATGGTGGCTCTGTAGAAAGTAACCAGCAGCCTCTCCTCCAGGTTGTTCCTCCTGAGCACTCTCAGAAAGTGGAGACGCTGCTGGGCCTTTTTTACCACTGCCGTGGTATTTGCTGACCAGGAGAGATCCTCAGAGATCTGCACGCCCAGAAACCTCATGGAGTGCACCCTCTCCACACAGTTCCCATGAATGTACAGTGGGGCCGGGTCTGCTCTGCCCTTCCTGAAGTCGAAGATGATTTCTTTAGTTTTCGTGGTGTTCAGTTGGAGGTTATTTACTGAGCACCACTCCATCAGTTCTTAGAGCAACTTTAGTTTCAAAGCTGAAATAAAGAACTTAAGGGTTGGAAATAATAGATCTGAAGCTTTTGTAAAATGGAACAAGCTGCCGTCTCTAACGGAGTAAAAGATGACCAGTTTTAGACAAATATGTGATTCCTGAACAACTTTGGTGAGTAAACACGGTGAGACAGCCATTCCAGCACTGGTTTGCTTTAGGATTCCTGCAAATTCCCTAAAACTTCATTAGAGAAACTCCGAGGCATCTTATCATCAATCACCACTTCCACCAAGAAACGAGCAGCTTCAGGAAATCCTCGTCAGCACCTCCTTGCAGCCGTTCTGGAGCACCAGTGTTTAATATTCCTTATCAGCTCGCTCCTGCTGTGGATTTTCTGCCTGCAGGTCCAGTAAGGAAACTGGCTTTCCAAAAATATAGCAGGTGTTATTTTTATTCCACGCTCTGAAAATACTGAGGGAGCTGAAACAAACTACAGGAAACATGATAAATGCAGGAGGGGAAGCAGGTTTGTGGCCTTAGGTGATGGAGTCCAGGGGAACAGTGGAGTGTTAAAACTTTTGGCTTCATCTCAGAGTTCAGCCATGCTGGAGCAGCACGAATAGGCCCTCCAGAGGGATAAAGAAAACAATTTTTTAGCTAAAAGTACAAAAAAATATCAGCTGTAAAAGTAAAGCTTCTGTGTTGACACTAACTCAAGTTTTGGGGACAATATATCATTTGTTGTTGTCTTCATGTCTGTTGAACCTCAGAGAAGAGCTACAAGGTTTTCCATGCAAGTCCTACTGGAGAACCCAGGGTAGACCCGGGGGACAAATTACTTTTGTACGGTTACCCTACGAGTTCATAGACTCTCGCTTCAGGGATCTCACATGTTCTAGTCGGCTGTATCACACTCTGGACTTTGTGGTTGGCTGTAAATGCTAAATTACCTTTGATACATCTATTTTTTACTACATCTGGTGTAATAAGTCACTTTTTTATTCTGGTTTTTCAGTATTTTAATCATTTTAGAGGGATAAAGTGTCTGTGAGTGCGGCGTATTAATAGATTTTTTTATTTCTTTTTCCTCACAGGTTGGAAGGAACAGAGGAGAAGTTTAGAAATCGAGAGAGTCGTCCTGAGGATCTGCAGGTGATCGCTGAGCTGAAGGATATGGTCGCTGAGAGAGAAACTCTGGTCAAAAAGCTGGTGGTGAGTAACTTCTGAGGTTAGGTTCGTTAGTCCAAGAACAGGGATGCGTGGGAAATGAATCAGTCTCACCAAATGAAACGATGAATCAGAGAACATAAATGTGATTTCACACAAAGCCCTTCAAAATGTAACGTTTATGAATAGTGTCTCCGCTGATTCAGCATCTCCAGATCTAATGCGGTGATGTGAAAATGAAGATCTGAGGACCTGGAAATTTACAAAAACTAAATCTAAAGTCTGGAAGTGAGAGCCAAAGGAAAACCAGTGCCCCCTTGTGGTTGGCTCCTGTACAGGTTTTCAGCCTAGAGTTTCATTTGTGGGACAAACAATAAGCAGGTTTTACGAATGAGGACACGTTTTCCTCCTCCTGCATTCTCCTGCTGCTGTTCGTGATTTTGAGGTGAAAGGCTTAGCCTGGTGGTAACTGGCAGGTTTAGACGGGAAAATTTGATGTTTAACAGACTTTAGGAATGTGGAAACTGCAGAGTCAACCATGTGGAGAAGGAAGTCATTAAACGTGTGACTTTTCATGTCTTTTCGCCTCCATGAGTCTCCTGATCCTCTCTGGCTGTCAGCTAACTGGATTTTTCTCCTTCAGGATGATAAAAAGTTCTACCAGCTGGAGCTTGTCAACCGGGAGACCAACTTCAACAAAGTATTCAATGCCAGTCCTAATGTAGGAGTCATCAACCCACTCATCAAGGTAGGTCCCGTAACACACACACACACCACACAGCCCAACGGTTGCATCCACTGGGGTGTGTTCTGATCAGTCAGAGGGATCTCAGATTTATTTTAGATGTCGCCAATGTGCAAACGGGTGTCTTTATAATTGGAAACAAGATTTCTATAATTATTTACAAAATAATGTTTTTCTTTTACTTTGATGATAGCTGCAGGTTTTGTGGAGGTAGTGTTGTTGAAGCGGACTTTGTGCATGCCTGCTTTGGTTTTGTAACGAGCATGTGTTGGATACATGACTGCTAGCTTTAGAGTGGCTCGTTACGCTTAACTGGATACACGACTGCTAGCTGTAGCGTGGCTCGTTACGCTTAACTGGATACACGACTGCTAGCTTTAGCGTGGCTCGTTACACTTAACTAGATACACAACTGCTAGCTGTAGCGTGGCTCGTTACGCTTAACTGGATACACGACTGCTAGCTTTAGCGTGGCTCATTACGCTTAACTAGATACACGACTGCTAGCTTTAGAGTGGCTCGTTATGCTTAACTGGATACACGACTGCTAGCTTTAGAGTGGCTCATTACGCTTAACTGGATACACGACTGCTAGCTGTAGCATGGCTCATAACTCTTAACTGGATACATGACTGCTAGCTTTAGCGTGGCTCGTTACTCTTAACTAGATACACGACTGCTAGCTTTAGCATGGCTCATAACGCTTAACTAGATACACGACTGCTAGCTTTAGCATGGCTCGTTACGCTTAACTAGATACACAACTGCTAGCTGTAGCGTGGCTCGTTACGCTTAACTGGATACACGACTGCTAGCTTTAGCGTGGCTCATAATGCTTAACTGGATACATGACTGCTAGCTTTAGCGTGGCTCGTTACTCTTAACTAGATACACGACTGCTAGCTTTAGCATGGCTCATAACGCTTAACTAGATACACGACTGCTAGCTTTAGCGTGGCTCGTTACGCTTAACTAGATACACAACTGCTAGCTGTAGCGTGGCTCGTTACGCTTAACTGGATACACGACTGCTAGCTTTAGTGTGGCTCATAATGCTTAACTAGATACACGACTGCTAGCTTTAGCGTGGCTCGTTACGCTTAACTAGATACACAACTGCTAGCTGTAGCGTGGCTCGTTACGCTTAACTGGATACACGACTGCTAGCTTTAGCGTGGCTCATAATGCTTAACTAGATACACGACTGCTAGCTTTAGCGTGGCTCGTTACGCTTAACTAGATACACGACTGCTAGCTTTAGCGTGGCTCGTAACCCTTAACTGGATACAAGACTGCTAGCTTTAGCGTGGCTCATTACGCTTAACTAGATACACGACTTCTAGCTGTAGCGTGGCTCGTTACACTTAACTGGATACGCGACTGCTAGCTTTAGCGTGGCTCGTTACGCTTAACTAGATACATGACTGCTAGCTTTTGCGTGGCTCGTTACGCTTAACTGGATACACGAGTGCTAGCTTTAGCGTGGCTCGTAACGCTTAACTGGATACACGAGTGCTAGCTTTAGCGTGGCTCGTAACGCTTAACTGGATACACGACTGCTAGCTTTTGCATGGCTCGTTACGCTTAACTAGATACACGACTGCTAGCTTTAGCGTGGCTCGTAACGCTTGACTGGATACACGACTGTTAGCTTTAGCGTGGCTCGTTACACTTAAACCATATTATCAAAATGTTGTCTAAAGGAGGAAATCTTTACAGCTCTTAAAAACCTATTATTTTTAGTTGTAATCAGAAACTGTGCTGAAATTCCTTTGCTTGCTGTCAGGCTAAACGTTACTGCCCCTTGTGGCCTGGCATGGTTTTTTCAGAATTAGTTTTTCTATTTTTTTGTTGGGATGCTGGAGAAGGCACAGACAAAAACAACATTCACTTTAAATTGTAGGAAGTGATGTCATAAACCACCCCTCATGCTCAGATTGACACTAGCACAGCGTCTCTAACTTCCACTGTTTCTGTACGTTTTTCCTCGTATCGGTGTGTGTGCTTTTCGTTTTTGTTGTTTCTGTGACCAAGTCTTCCATCCAGTTGGGTTGGGTCCTTGCCTTTTTTCCAGCCTTCCTTTGCTTTTCCAAGCCATTTGTTGGAGTGAGATGTTTTCTGCTTAGTCACATCTCTTCTCATCTAAACTGTCATTCTGCTCAGAGCGACTGCTGCTTTTAAGATTGATGCCAGTCTCCAGGTTGAGCCATTCTCACTCTGCTTCAATCAGCCTTTAATGAGATCCAGTTAGCTCGCTGCTCTTTCCTGTCTCTCATCGGCTGGACTGTTACGACCTCCAGAACTCTCCTTGTGCCTCATTTGCCCTTTTTCCGCACCATTTCCTTATTATTTTTGCTTTAAACCTCCCTTCTGCTCCTTTTTGATCCCAATTCCCGTCCTTTTCTTTTTTTTTTTGTTTCTGTGTAGCAAAAGAAAAAGAATGAGAAAGCAGCAGCCAGCAGATTCAGCAGCTCTCATAATCTCAGGGCTCTGGAGGCAGCAGGTATGGGCTTGGACGTGGTGGGTATAGGGAGTGGGCAGCTCCCACAGCCCCCGCCCCCAGCCCCGCCCGGCCGCCTAGAGCCCATCCCTAACTCCCCCCTCCATCACCTTGAGCTCAACTCCAACAAACCTCTTGCCCCGCCGACCACTCCCACCGAACCCAAGAAGTTCATGAGGTGAGACCTTCCTGCTGACCGGCAGCAGCTTGTCAACCATTAATCATCCAATCACAGACCTCCTTAGTTGGAGGTGAAAGCACTTTTTGACTCAGCTGGAACCAGCATCTTGTAAAACCACTAACTGGTATTTCAAGTTAATATAGAAGTCCAGAACTCCTTCTGGTTTCTGGTTTTGTAAACAAATCTGTTAAATATTCTTCATACTTTTCATTCATTTGTGCCAAATCAAGCCCTCTCATGAACCGTAGGAGCATGAAAATCATCATCATTATCAGCTGGACTTTGTTAGAGAGCCTTTAAGTTCAAACTTAAGTTTGCTGATCCCCCAATATCCTGCAGTTTTCTTTTGCGATTTTAATATTTGACAGAATTGTCATTATTTCTCTAAAGTCTTTTTATGCAAAAACTCCTGAGTTTTAAATGTCAAATTTTTATTTCTTTCCTTGAATATTAATTAGAGCTTTAGATATTAACCCTTTCAACAAATATAGCAACAAATTCAGTCTTTTACTATTTATTTTAAATTATTTCTGATGTGTTTTGATTGGACAAATCAAATACTAAACAGTGGTTCTATGATTAGCAGTAGGCTAACTGATGCTAAAAGCTGTACATTTAGTGGTAAAGAGACATAATTGTTCGTAAATATTTGTGTAAATCCTCCTAATGTTGATTCTTAAACGTGTATTATCATGACATGAACAGTTAGAATGTTTCATTCCAGGCAAACTTCAGAAAAGTCGCTAGCATTAGCATTAGCTTTATCTCATGTAACTCGATAGCATCCATAACAAGCTACCAAAAAACAACAAATGAATGCCAGACAGGAAGTTCTTAATCGCATAAACAAACTAACTAAACTGCTAAACAAGTAAAAGGACTAACTTTGAGAACCACTGAGCAGCTGACATTAGCCGTCATGTTTGAGGCTTTTTTAAATCCACTAAAACAAACACCATCTAAACTTTTAACATTTGTTAAATTAGCCCCTAAAACTGCTTTTCCATCTCTTGGCGTTTTTGAAACAAACAGCCCAGTTTGATTTTACTGCTTATTACTAATGGAAGGATTCCCTGATATTTGTCTCTAAATATCTATAAAAGTGATGTAAATAATTAAATCATCCTCATATATAGTTCCTCCAGCTTGCCTTAGTGTGGTAGTTCTGCTTTAGTTTTATTCTAAAAACCGGAACATTTTTAGGTGTTTTATCAACTCTGGGTGTTTGCTGCCCAGTTTGTCCGTCTGATCCAGCGGGGTGGGTTGAGTAAACGATGAAGATGATTTTCTGCCTCCTAACAGGAGCTGAGATCCTGCTGCACATCACTGATCCTCAGTCTCATTTAAAGGACACGGCTGCTTTATGCAGCGTCACGTTTGAACTCTGCTCTGCAAATAGACTTTAAATCTCTAAAGAACAGCCGAAGCTGAACATAAACACAGGAGACCCACATGTGACTGAAGCTTCAAAGAATGGCCTTGGAGTGCAAAAGGGGCATGTTTTTGTTGTTCATTTTGTTTTTGTTGTGTTTTTGTTCATCAATAGTATAAATGTTGATGGCATGCTGGCAGGCTTTTTGTCTTCTCTTCAGGAAGTTATAGCACTTGTCACAATTTGTATGTTTGTGTTGTTTTATTGTGATTTTTGTGATTCTTCATCTAAAGTTCAGCATGTTACACTTTTTCCTTCCTGAAACAACAAGGAAAGTTTGTTTCAGTTGTACAGTTTGTTGTAAGTAAAATATATTTTTTTACTTTGATGACATGACAACTTGTGTGTGTGTGTGTGTGCGCGCCTGTGTGCGTGTGCAGTTCAACCCAATAAAAAGATTCCTGTCTCTTGATGTCTGGCTGAATTGATACGATTCACACACTGCTTTTGATACACACGAATGCAGCGTGTGTGTGTTTGCACGGCAGATGATGCATTCTAACAGGAAAGTGTTCAGGTGTGCATGAGTGTGAGTTCTGCTGCATGTTTTGCCCGAGACAACCCCCCATCACAATCAGATCCATCATTTCACATCTGTGCACAAACATTTCTGGAGTTTTTCACCAAAATCGCAAAATTAGTAGCAACAATACAGCAGCACAAGCTCAAGTCTGAAGTCTGATTTAGATTTTTTTTAGTAAGTCGATTTTGTTCCTGCAGAAGGACCATGTAGAGATGACCCGTCTGTCCTCGTGGAAATAGTTAACTATCCTTAAAAATTATTAAATCAGCTCTCTTCTGTTTTAGCTTTACTGAATATTGTAGCTAGTTTCCTGAATAGCCTCAGTTCTGAGAAATGGCTTTTGTAGGACTAATGAGCAAATATGCAGCTGTCTGAAATGCTCAAATCTTCTAAATTTCAAAGCATTCATTGGAAAATTATTTTATAACCCTACACACCATCGTCTGTTTCATAACACACAAAAGTTCCTGAAACATTCAGGAATTCCTACTAACCTTCACCCCCGGATTCATCGGGTGTGCTACATTTAGCTGCTGGTGAAAAACATTTAGAAACAGTAACTAAAGGCCGTGTGATTGAAACACTGCAACAAAATTAAAGATATCAGAGTTATTTTAAAATGGCGGCAATACATTTCTTGGCTGCACTCCAACAAGCCTTTAGCTTGTCGTCGCGAAGAACCTTGGTTTCTGCCAAACAGACATATGTAATTTAATATTGCATAACTTTTACACAGAGACACGTTTCTTATTGGCTGAAATGTCTCTCTAAGAGCTAAAAAAAAACTCACTGCAAAAGAATGAGATGAACAATAAAATGGATTAAAGCTTAATTTTAAGCTTCATGAGGCACAAAATTTCAAATAAGCAGACAACAAAATCTGATTAAACATCTAAATGAGAGTTTGGAAGTAAAAACTCATCAGTTTAAAGATGATCAGATATAGACGCTATAAAGGAGATTATTCTGTGTTTCAGGAATTATGGTTGGTTTGTGACTCATTAGGTTTCTGCCTCTAAACATGTTTGAGCCTCCTTCCTTTTCTTTCCAACCCTGATTCTCCATCTCAGCTCCCTTCTCTTCAACAATCTCTCATGAAGAAACACTGTAATAAGTGTTTAATGTGAAAGCTTGTGTACAAATAAAAAATGGATAATTTATGGTAAAAGCAGAAGCTCTGCATCTGAACTGTGGTTCATTGTGCTGAAATCTAGTGGGAGGTAACTGATTTCCTGCAGCATAAAAAATGTTCTTCACCTCGGGGTTCTGAGACTGTTTAATAAGTAGCCAATTAAGAAAGTAAGAGAGGCGCTGGAATTTGTTTTCATCTATTAGTTTCAGACATGAGTTACTTTCAATAACAAACAGAAACTCGCTCATACAAATTCTGCTGATATTAGCTCAATATCTGTCAAATTTAATGAGCACATGTTTGTGTTTGCTAATATTGACTAGCGGTCAGTCATCATGAAAAACGTTCACGTCAGCATTTTAGCCAGCGGGGAGAAAAAAAAAAGAAAAAACTTTGGTGTGTCGGATCACGCCACTGCCCCCTGTGGACGGAGTCATGTACTACAGCTCCAGACTGTCAGACGCCTGCTGGTGTTTCTGTGCTGTTTGTTATTAAAATAGAACTTTAAACCATAATTTGGTTGGATTAATTTTAAAAAAGTTTTACTGGAGTTTTAGCTCCACGTGAATAAGAAAAAAACTATATTTTTTTCGTCATACATTAAAAAAAATACACTAATAGCAAAAGTAGTTTGCAAATCACTTTTAATCACACAGTAATGTAATCTGGCTCCAGAAAATTTAAACATTCTATTTTAAACCCCCATTTCAGATTATTTGTGATAACTTGGGTATAAAAGTGCACATGTAAAACATGCATGCAATGTTTTTATTATTGATCATTTACTGTGTACGTGAGACTTTTTAAATATGGATGATGTGGAGTTCACTCCATTACATTCTGTGTTGCATATTTTTCTTTAAAACAGGTTTAAATGTCTGTGAGTGCAGCAAACATAACACATTAAACTTTATTGACAACTGTTTGTTCTACAAAAATAAATTAGCAAGTTAGTTCACACTTTTTATAATGGTTTGGCTTTATTTGAGGGGAAGAGATCAGATCAGATCAATCAGATAAAAGTGGTATTACTATTAATATTATTACTACTACTACGACCATATGAAGTTTAATGGATCAAAAGAAGTAATGTCTGAATGAAAGACTGACTGTCTTCTTTCTCCTTATAACTCTGTTCTTTTCATTGTGGTTTTGCGCGTCCTCACCCCCTCATCTCCTCACCCTCTCACTCCCTGAAGCCCTCTTGAGATGAAGGATGCCACCATCGACCCCACCGATGCCCAGCGCCAAGAGTGGTTCGCCCAGTACTTTTCCTTTTGATTGACCACAAGCTTCCAAACTCAAGGATTCAGCATGTCAACCAAACTTTTTAAAAATAAATAAAAAGAAACAACATTTTGAAAAAGAGAAAACAATGTTGAAACTATTTGTTATTATTGTCATTGAGAAGGTTCGGGGTCAGTTCACTCCGGATTCAGTCAGCCAACGCAGGAATTTGAGGATGACGTGTCAAAACGCACAGAACTTGATGTCATATATTTTCACAGATTTCAGGAAGACTGACTTCCTGTTTGTTGACTGGGAGGAAACTGAACTGAACCCGATCCTGAGGTCATCATTCTGATCTAATTTGATTGTTTGATTATCTGATTGTTTCACTGTGGACGAGTTTCTCTCTTAGTACAGTGACAATGACCATCAGTATGTTCGATGTTTGTTTCATTTAATGACTTCATACCTTTTGTTGCTGTTTCTTGGATCTAGGAAACGAGTGGTGCGTTCTCATGCTGCTAAACTCCATAGTTGGACTAAAGTGAGAAATAAATATTTGTAAAGAATTCAATGGTAGGTTATTGTGCTCTCTGTAGTACGTGGGTCTTCTGCACACAGCATCTTAGATGAGGAGGGCTGATCTGAGACCAGTTTGCCTCCTCATTCATGGTGACATTTCCATGGATCTGATCCTAGATCAGTTACGCTTCTCCGATAGGGTCCATGAAGTACTGCTTCTGACTTTAGGGCGACACCATCAACACCAGTTTGTTACAGCTGCATCTAAGTTTCAGCAGATTTTGGTAGAATATTAAAACCTGTTTGTATGGTTGTCTGTCTCAACACAGATATAATGATGTCTCACCAATTTTAAAAACAAAAATAGCATTTTATATTTATAATATAATGTGTATGCTTAATAAAGAATTATTGTGACATTTAATTATGTGCGTGATTTATTTTACTGAACCTATGTTTAATTTATTTTGTTAATTATTTCATCCTTCAAATATTTCACTTTTTTAAAATATGTTGGTTTACTTTATACATTTTGCAGTGTCAAAGTTTAGCTGTTTCACTTTTTAATTAGAAAACCTCTGTGTGTGATTTTTATCAAAGAAAAACATACTTTTACAAATTTTGGATAACTATTTAACATGACGCCCGAATAAAAAGATGTCAGCGTCTTTAGTGACTGATCTAAAAACAACCAATGAAAAAAATCTTTAAGCAAATTAACAACTGTAGAATTTTATGTGAGGCCTAAAAATAGGGAAAGAGGTGAATAAAGTTTTAATTTGAACGTATTTGGTTGAAAAAATGTCAATTTCTGTAAATTTTTTCACATGTAAATTAATATTTAAGTTGGTAACTTTATTGGGTAAATGTTTTAAATATACACATTTAACATAAATAAAGAAGATGTATATGTATTTAAATGTAGGATCAAGCAATATAAAATTTATGTTTTTTTTTTATCAAACTGACTAGATGTTATACAATTACCCGCTAGAGGGCGGTGTTTACTTCGTTCTAATTGGTTTGAACCGGAAGATAAATAAACCCTCTTTCGGTGCGGAGTCGTGATGGCTGCCCCGGGTGCCGCTTCTCCAGGCCGGCTTGTTCAGTACATTGTGGTCCGTTCTGACCTGGTCCACAAGCTGTCGTGGCCGCTGGGAGCCGTGATTACCCAGGCCTGCCACGCCGCTACCGCCGCCGTTCACTTGAACTATGGAGACCCGGACACGCAGCGGTACCTGGCGGAGCTGGACTGCATGCACAAAGTGGTTCTGGGGGTGAGCCATGAACACAACAAAAATAACATCACACGGAGTTTATTTTGTGGTAAAAGTAAGCAAACACCTGAGGGTTTTTACTTTGAAGTGAGCGGGTTGTCTCTGGTCCGCAGGCCCCGGACGAAGCCGCCCTCTCCGGCCTCTCCGACAGCCTGACCCAGGCTGGAATTTCACACAAACTCTGGATCGAGCAGCCAGAAAACATCCCGACGTGTTTGGCTCTGAAGCCGTATCCCAAAGAGACCGTCCAGCCGCTGATGCGGAAGTTCAAACTCTTCAAATGATGAAGACGAAGGTCCAGAGAAGCAGCTGTCTTTGTCCAAACGTTTTAATTTTGCAGAAGAAGAGACGAGAACATGTTAAAACTGCGTTTGTTGGTTCAGGTGCCTTAAATAAGTAAAAACGCTCTTTTGGCATCAGCATACGTGTTCTGATGTTTGGAGCCAACCTTTATTCTGCTGTAAATGTCATTTAGAAATACTTTTACTGGAGTTTTGGACATTTGCTGATTTTATTTATTTTACTCCAGTCATCAAACTTGGATCGTTGTTTGTTTGTTTACTGCATTTTCTGATCCAGGAATACCCAAGGCTCCTAAAGTCAAGTTAGTTTGAAACTAAGCAGAAATCATGGCTAACAAAGCCGTTTAAATTAGGATGTATGTGTTCTGTAGACTAGGGTTTTGTTGGCTATTTAAGATTTCTGATTTTTGTTTAATCTGCTGATCTGGAAATCAGATCTTAGACATCACAAAGTACTTTATTCTAATCTATTAAAATATGTCAACGAAATCAGTTTTTCTGGTAAATGTTTTTAACACCAAAACGTTTTATGTCAGTGCTGAAAGAGGAATAATCTCAGCTGTTTGATAGATTTCTACCTGATTCCTAAATACTTTCAGAACCAACTACCGGTAGTTATTTCAGACCTGTTTCAGTGTAATTTAAGTCTCCACTAGGTGGCGCCAAACACAAGCCACTTAAATTATTATCGAAGGGTTTGTTCTCAAATATATCTCCTGAGTCCTGTTTGATTATTTTAAACACCACATCCAGGTCTATTTAAGTCTTAACAGTTGAGGGGGGATAATTTGATGAACCTTTACGTTTTATTTCATTAAACCTGTCCACACTTTAAAAATAGAAATAAATATGTAAATTAATTTAATTTCTTAAACGTTTAACCTTCTGTGAACAGTGTTGTCCTCATTTCTTCTGCAGAATCAGCATGGTGATGTCATATATTTCTTTCAAAAGTGTTCACGTGCTCCAACATGGCCTCCATGGTTCATCATGTTAGGGATCAGATAAATAAAGTCCATAAACAAGTTTAAGCTTCACATACTGCTGGAACACCTTCCAAAATAAGAGTCCTAATGTGAAAGACTATTATAAAAAATAAGAGTTAGAGAATAATGTGAGGTTTTTTTAGCACTGAAAGTTTTTTAATTACTGAAATATAAAAATAAAAATGTTGAGTTCACACTAGAATTAGTTTTCTTTGTTTTTCCCCAGAAAAGTTAAATGTACAAATTTCATATTGCTTTATATCAATGATAAGTCCAACTTTTAACTCTTGGCCATGTTGTAATTTAGTTCTTGATCCTTCAGTAATAAAATATTTTGGTTTTTATATTGTTATGATTTAAACCAGAATGCAACTAGATTTTTATCATTATAGGCTTGCTAAATAAAATAAATTCATTATTTCACATTATGAATGCAAACTGTTTAAATCATTATTGGTAGGATTTTGCTTTCTTGTTTCTATTATTGAATTAATAGTTTCTAATAATTCTGTCAGGTTTTTCCCTGAACAGGAGAAAAACGACACAAGGTTGTTTTTGGTTTTGGCTAAATGACTTTTAATATAAAACAGGCATTGAAAAGGTTTGATTTGACCACGTTGTATGCATTAATAGTTGACATAGCATGCTTGTTTTCTTTAGCAGTTATTTCCTATCAAGGCTGCATCCTGAGTCCACTACATTTTGCCCTGATGACCTGAAACTGCTGAATGATGTCCACTAGGAACCACACTGAGAAGGATGCAACTATAGGCCTCATCCAGGATGATGACAATGACGACCTAACAGGAGTTACATGAAGCACTGTAACAGCAATCTAACTCTGAACAACAAACCAAAGGAAGTCATCACTAGTAGAATTTTTTTATATATAAAAATGGACACCTAAAATTTCTGACGCTAAAATAACTCCCCTAGCTGCAGCGATCCATACTCTGAGTGAGAATGGGGATTTGCGCCCTCCAGTGGAGACAACGTACAACTACATTATGGTTCTGAACAATCCTAAAAGAAAATATTTTAGCCTCCGTAGCCCATTAATGGAGCTAAAAACAACATAATTTTTTTTGTCCTTTTCTGAAGATCAATATTAAAGAGAAGAGGGAAATACATTTATAAAATGAGTTACTAAAGATAGAAACACTACTTGTAAATTCTTTCAAAACAAAAGGATGCAGCATTTTGTCATTGTCAACAGAGGAACTCGCTCAAACAGTATTTTTTGCTTGTTATTTAGCTAAAAATAATATTAAATTGTATATATGTAGTCATGTTAAACACGTTGGTCGTGTGGAGTCAAAGTGCAATACACAGCTTGCTGCAGTGTTACAAACTGGATTTGAAACACTCGACCTTTGGCGTCTGGCTTTCGAGAGGAGGGATTTTCTGCCCCCTGTTGGACGGAAATAGTTACTACAGCGTTCATTAACACTTCCTGTAAAATCCTACAAAATTAGATGGAACACTTAAAATTTACCAAGTGTTTTTAATTTGCGTAAACAGCATAGTCAGTATAGATTATGGATAAACCAAAACGTCTTCACTTATACAAACTACTTACCTACCAAAACTCAATAAATTTATAATCCGTGTTTAACAAGAATCAAGAAGATAAAACAGCAGCTAGCTACAGTGCAAACAAATCTGTTCACACGTCCTCTGGCGGCCACAGTACGAAACTAAATCCACTAGATAAGTTTTATATATATATTTTTTTTTTCTGGAAACCCACGTTTCCTTTTCATTCGTTGTTTTTATTGGTTGAAGGCTACAAGCTGTATTTACATGTACTTTTGTTATTATTTTTCTTCTTCCTTTTCTCTAAGTGTATGTGCTGCTGTAAGGAGTGAATTTCTCACTGTGGGATTGATACATTCTATTCTTTTATATTCTATTGTAAATCAACAAGTTAATGCAGGAAGTATTAGCAGTTGACTACAGCACTATTAAAAAATCACACCATACGCCCTTCTGCCACAGACCAAAACAAAATCCATGTAAACTTTGAGGGATATTGCTCTAATAAATTAAATTAAGTTATTAATAAATAATATATATTAAACATATTTAGTTACAAAACTGTACCAGCAAACGTTAGTAGTTTATAATCTATAGAAGAGGATTAGGGCCACTAAAAGGAAAAAGTAAAAAGAAAGAGAATTCTGACTTTTTTCGCAGAATTATTCAGTTCTGAGATTAAAGTCAGTATTCTCTTTCATTTCATCTGTTTTCTTTTCAGTGGCCCTAATCCTTTTCCTTAATTATCAAGCATGTCAGATAGTTATTAGTTCAAAGTTCAATAAATATCCAATTGCTTCAAATACATACACACACACACACACACACACACACACACACACACACGCACGCTCGCACACACACACACACACCACGAGAGAGAGAGAGAATTTTAGCCCCAAAATGCTGAAAACTGGACTTTCTATGCCAAATCATATGTAATTCATCAGCCTTCATAACCTCACAATGGAATAATGCACCTTATAACTTTAATTGTATTAAAATGCATCACAATCAAAACTTGTGAAGTATGAAGTAGCATTATTTCTAAAGGACAGTGATTCTGCGCAGTGCTGAAGAAGGAGGCCTTTAGTTTCAGACTAACATCCCTCTCGTGGTGTGAAAACTGTGGTTATATCTGCTGATTATCGGACTGCTCCGTTTGTTCTGTCAGCTCTTCTGTCCATCAACCCAACTGGAGCTGTCCGCCTGGCGAGCGCGCCTCGCCGTGCGCGAGCACCGCTGTTTGTTTGTGTTGAGAAAATGGAAATGGCGGAGAGCAGAAACCAAAGCGATAACTTGGATTAGCAAACGGGGTGCTCCGTGTCCGATACGCAGAAAACAACCGCAGGTGGTTCCCGGAGTTGCCCGCGAGTCGCTGCTGCTGACCGGATACAATTCGTCCCCCAGGAGGAGAAAAGGATTTACGGAGTGAAGGTTTGGGATTTTATCAAGCTGGTTAGCTAGCTGTGCTAAGTGAGCTAGCAGCCTTGGCTAACTTCACGTCGTGTGTGATTTCAACCACGCAGCCTTGTTTGTCAACAAAAGCTGACGTTAAATTGTCAGCGGGCCAGCTTACATGCAACTTTTGGACAGTTTCCAAGCCAACCCACATGTGTTTATTGCACGGTCTCGACATTTGACCGCAGAATTATGCGTCCAAAGTAGGAGTGGATAAAAGTGAGACATCTGACTTAACTGTAAGCAGTAAGTTAAGCAGGTTAGCTAAGTTAGCCGACTGGCTTGTTTCGCACAGCCTGGTCTGCCTTTTAATTAGGAATTCTCCAACTTAAAGCAAGTTCTTATTGGGAGGATCGTTTAGGCAGGAGCTGAGCGGACTCAGGTAGAAGCTTCAGGCATGTGGTTCACGTTGTTATCGGGCATGTTTTTAGCGGCCGCTGCAGCGCAGCACGGCCTGACTCATTGTTGTGTTTTACCCAAAGTAACGGTTCTACGTTTCCGTCATCCCCCAGCTGCAAATATACCGTGCATGGGCTCCGGAGCACGCAGCCGTTATGTAACGTGGCGGAGACGGCCTGAAGGTGTCGCAGCTCTTTCAGGGGAGCTGTAACCTGAACGCGAAAACGGGAGAGAACACCTTGACCTCTTGACGCATGACCTCGGAGGCGTTTTAAAATAAACCACCCGAGTAGCTCCTGCTGACCCAGAAAATACTGAAAAAGTCCACCAGCAGGACTCTGGAGGAGACGCGAGGCTGATAACGAGTAAAACAGGCTCGATCCACATTGTTTGGGCTCATTGTGTGCAGATAGTTAAAGTACGTGCTGGCCTTGGACAGCTTTGGAAAATGTTTAATCCAGAAGCCTTTGTTCGCACTAACATCTAGATGAAACATGTCAATCTCGTTCTGAAGTAGTGATGATTAGCAGCTCTTAACTCAATTAATCAGTTTCTCTAGTCAACAAGTTAAATGAATCAGAACGTTTCTTTCAGCAGCTCACACGCACCTTTTATCTCTGATTTGCTCTGCAGGTGGATAAAATGTGATTATTTACACATAAAATACTTTTATTCTGAAATAAAATTTCATTGCAAAGTCTTTATCCTAATTTAATCGTGTAGTTTTTAAATTGGCATCTAGTCAATTGAGTTTGTTGTTACCAGAACTGATAGTTTGGTGAAATTATTGTTAATAAGTTAGCACAAAACAAAAAGATCAACATGAGCAGAAAATAGGAGTTCTGCTCAACAACAGAGAGATGCTGTTGCTTCATTCCTGCAGGCTGATCTGAACCCAACATTTAGACATGATCAGTTTATTATTGTTGACTGGACCGCATACATCAGCCCCACTTTTATGCAGAGGGAGATAATATTAGAGTCTGTCTACAGATTGTTGTTGGTTTTTAAACTTTTAGCATTAATGTGTTCCTATAAGGGGACAAAAACAGATGCACCCACTCTTGCATCCCTGAATGCAGCATCCTCATTTGAAGTGTGCAGCCAAGTTACCTCTACTTTAATAAGAAGACACTTTCTTCCTTGGAGATTCTTTTAATCATTTGAAAATTTACTGTTTTATAAAACTGAAATAAAGGTTCTGCCCAAATTAATTTCTTAGAGAAGATATAATTCAATAAAGCAAAAGCATTTATTTATGCAAAAACATAGTATAATTTATTGTACTTTAAGAAATGCATATAACAGTTTTTTCCCTAAAATATTGGGGAACACATTTAAACGGTATGTATTTAGCTTTTTTAAGCATGCAGCTCCCCAGTACTCTGCACAAAACCGTGACCTAATAAGGCGCACCTCAAATGTAAACAAACTTTCAATCAAAATATAAACATCTTCTAAATAGGCAATAAAATCTGGGCCAAACAATGGGTAATGGCATCAGTAATTTGCATAACTTGTTCATCCTTTCAAAGTTCAGAGTGATTTATGGCGCGGCGCTTTGTTGAGTCATTTGTTTATGTTTGAACTGCAGCTTGTGTCGCTACTCCGCTGCGGTTTTGTTCCAGATGGTTGAACAAGTTTGTTGTGTTTCCACTGTTGGGAGTAACAGTTTTCTTGCTCTTGCTAATAAGTGTTTTTTTCCTCCACCTTCCAGTCAGACCAGTCTAAAAAGATTGAACTAGCTGCTGTGTGTTTGGTACTACTGAGTTTTCAAAGAATGCTAACGTGTTTCTCTGTTATGTTGTCATTCGCTTTAGGGGAACTAAATATGTTGTTGTGTTATCGATAACACAAGAGGACAGTTAACTGGTGTTAGCAAAGATTTTCTCGTGTGTGTGTGTGTGTGTGTGGGGGGGGGGGGTATAGAGAAGTTTTAAACACAAGATTTGTAAAAAATAAAAAATGTAAAGTTTATGCAGGAATATCGTAACGAAGAATTTCAGCTACGATTCAAAGCATAAACATGAGCATGAGGACAGGTTTTGTAGACTGGCATCTGTGATGAGCAGCTGTTTACTTTGTTATTGCATGCGTGCGCCGTAGCTTTAGCAGTCTGTTTGTGTAGTAGTGGTGGTGCAAACATACCCTGGTTCTGAGTGAAAGCATCATAGCTGGGCCTCACTAAGCTAAGATGTAGCCCAGATAAGAGCCCAGGTTATGGAGTTCAGCACAAACCTCAGTTACTTAGTTCAAAGTTTTTGACTCTGCTGGCAGCTGAGTGAGGGCCTGAGTACATGCTGTTTGTAAACAAGGAAACAAACGGTCACAAAAGGATAATCAATGTGCCGAGGACGGCGGGGCTTTGGTATCTGGTGTAAACTGATAATATCTGAAATGAAAGTCTATGATTGATAATTTGATTAAATCAACCACTGAGATCCTGAAAAGGATAAAAAAAAATATTTAGTTTGTCATCGAGTGGTGATGAGCCACAACAATATTAAAGATGGCTGAAAAGTCTGCAAGTCATTTGGAGAGCAAAGGTCTCAGAGTCTGGAGGAAGAGGGAAGAGGCTCAGAATCCACGTAGCTTGAAGTCCAGGAGGGAAGTTTCCACGGTCGTTTAAGGTTTGATGCTGTTGATCCTCTCTGGGTTTTTGGAGTCTCAAGTCATCACAGACATCTACCAGGACATCTTAGAGCACTTCCTGCTTCCTTTTGCTCTGTGGAGATGCTGGTTACACAGAGGAAGACGAGACACCCTCCCTGCACCCGTCCCCCTCTCTACTGTCCACTCCTTGTTCCCTCCTCTCCATGATTGATGTCAAGTTGTTGTTGTTATTGTTGTTGTTAGCCTCAAGGGCAACATGCCGATTATCACTTGTAAGTCGCTTTGGACGAAAGCGTCTGCTAAATACATAAACATAAACACTAAACCATCAGTGCAGATGACCTGAAGGCCGATATCAAAACAACGTTGTTGTTGCTTTTTTATAATAATAAATGGTAAAAAGATGCATTTAATTAAATTTAGACACAAATTGTGAAGCAAAGTCAGAAGAAGCACATTGGAGACCAATTGTTGGGAGTGGGATCCCCTCCTCCTCCTCCTTGCTGAGCTGTGTGTCTGTATGGAGAAGGAGCAGCCATTTTAGCACTCAGCAGTGCTGCAGCCTGCCTGCTGCTGTCACTGCTTTCTTCTACAGGAGCCCCTGTTAGGTGTTTGTTTATGTTTTCAGACCCTCAGGATATCAGCAGGCAGCCTTTTACTTTCCCTCAGGATCTCAGAGTAATTAATGTCCTGGATGAATGCTGTCAGATCAGAGGTTCACCTGAAACTCCGCCTAGAAGTTTACATCTTGTTTCTTGATGTTTTGTATTCAAAGAGTGAGCTTTTTTAAAAATAAATTCTCTTTTTGTACTTTTACAGACTTTCTGAAGAACTTTCAAAGTTTAGTTCAGATGATTTTTAGTTTGATCCTTTTAAATAATTATTTTTAAATAAATTGATTTTACTGTTATGCCTACACAAAACAACTCGTCATATTTGCCCAGTTTATTATTAGCAGCCTTTGTCTTAAAAACAATTTACTTGAAATCGTTTAGATTTACCTTTCCACAACCAGGCTGTTCTAGGAGGAAGCATTTGGTCAGCTTTAGCTTTGTCATATGACCCATCAATATTTAGAATAGCAACAGTGTGGTTTTAAAATAGCGCCCTCTTGTGGCTGGCTGCAGCTAACTTTCCTCCATGTAAACAAACAGGAAGTTTTCCATGTAAAATATGACCAATAGGAAACGACAGATTCAGTCAATCAGATGCTTCCTCATGAACGGCCATCACAAGGCTCTTTTTAACATTCATGGTTACATCTGAAAACAACTGAACATGGTGAAAATGTTTTTCTTATATTGATTTATTTACGAAAGAGTGAAATATTTCTAGACTTTATGTAATTTGGATCATTTGGGTTTCTCAGAAAATTAGAATTATTACATAAAAATTACATTTTGAAAGAACTTTGCCTTTTAATTGTCATTAAATAATTTACAGCCACGCTGGCCAGGTACCACCCCCCCCCCCCCACCCCCCCGTTTGGGTGTAAGCTGGGGCTGCTACCCTCACGACCCGCATAAGCCAACAAAAACAGAAGGATGGTCAGTTCTTTTGCCTCATATTAAAATCATTGCTTTCACATGCAAAAAGATAATTAAAGTCACAAAGAAACATATTTAGTTTCAACTGTGTATTCTGTGGTAGATGCAACATATTTGTTCAAAAATCAGTTTAACTCTATAAGTCTATAATATCTAATAGATTTTAGTATATTAACTCATTCACTGCCAGCCGTTTCCTGATCGGTAAAGCCCTTCGCTGCCAGCATTTCTCGCCTTTACTGTTTTTTTAAGAGTCACAGAACGTTGCATGCTAGGATGATGTCGATGCCAAAACAACCAAAACAAAGAGGAGACTCACCTCTTACATCAGGAAGAATCCGCGCGTTTTGAGCGTTATCCGTTCTTTCATAATCCGTTGTTGAATTGTGATCGGCAGAAGCTTTTCCGGTTCGCGCC